CACTCCCCCACGTGAGTCAAACATGCGAGACAGACAGGAAACTGTCAATAGATAATCTGAGTGAGGCCTCAGAGTACAGTAAATTCTATCACCAGTTTTTCCTGTCATGCCTCAACCGAGTGTTTTACGGCTGAGTAAAGCAGTGGCAACAACATACTATCAGTCATTTTGGTTCTCTCAATGTTTCCATGCATGTTCTTGTGAGCTAGCTACAAAATGTTTGAAAAGTAATATCCGTGACAGAATATCCTGCACGTTTTGGTTTTTGCCCTGGCACTACACAGCTGATTCAAATAATCAAATCATCAAGCTTTGATTTTTCGAGTCAGCTGTGTAGTGCTAGGGCAGGACAGAGTTTGGGAAATCCTGAGCTAAGTAACGTTAGCTAGCTACATTCGGGTTTGGTGGAGTAAGGTTCAGAAATTGCAGGTGTGGCTGTTGTTCACTACCCAATCATTTTACAAACACTGAGTTGGCTAGCTATTTATACTGAACAAAAATATAAAACGCAACATGATAGTGTTAGTCCCATGTTTCATGAGCTGAAATAAAATAACCCAGAAATGTTCCATACGCACAAAAAGCTTATTTCACATTTTGTGCACAAATTTGTTTACACCCGTTAGTGAGCATTTCTCCTTTGTCAAGATAATCCATCCAACTGAAAGGTGTAGCATACCAAGAAGCTGTTTAAACAGCATGATCATTACACAGGTGTACCTTGTGCTGGGGACAAGAAAAGGCCACTCTAAAATGTGCAGTTTTGTCACACAACACAATGCCACAGATGTCTCAAGTTGAGGGAGCGTACGATTGGCATGCTGACTGAAGAATTTCCGCACAAACTGTCAGAAACCGTCTCGGGGAAGCTCATTTGCGTGCTCGTCGTTTTGACCTGACTGCAGTTCGGCGTCGTAACCGACCATTCATCCACCGCCATCACCTCATGTTTCAGCATGATAATGCACAGCCCCATTTCGTAAAGGATCTGTACACAATTCCTGGAAGCTGAAAATGTCCTAGTTCTTCCAAGGCCTGCATACTCACTAGACATGTCACCCATTGAGCATGTTTGGAATGCTCTGGACCGACGTGTACCACAGGCACAGCGCGTTCCAGTTCCTGCCAATATCCAAAAACTTCACACAGCCATTGAAGAGGAGTGGGACATCATTCCACAGGCCACAATCAACAGCCTGATCAACTATGTGAAGGAGATGTGTCGCACTGCATGAGGCAAATGGTGGTCACACCAGACCAAGAGATGCATATCTGTATTCCGGGTCATGTGAAATCCATAGATTAGGGCCTAATGAATTTAATTAAATTGACTGATTTCCTATATGAACTGTAACTCAGTAAAATCTTAGAAATGTTTGCATGTTGCGTTTATATTTCTGTTTATATATTTCTGTTCAGTGTACTAACCCATCATAGGTACACCAGTTTGATTAGTTAACTAGTTAGCTAGCTAAACTGCTCTCGGAGAGAATCTCCTCCCCAAACAAACCAAAACCACCGCCTGTTAAACAGAAAAATCCAAACACTCATGAATAAAGCTTCATCGCATGATGATGGTACATAAATTATTATCCAACTCGAAAATTACACTAGTTTTGTATCACACTCAACATGAGAGCATATGGACACTTTTTCAAACTAAAGGACAATACACTGTCAAACTGGGACACGTTAGCCTAAACAAAGCTGTCATTACCTAGCTATCATGCTAACCAATTAGCTACCAATGCTAGCTAAATTTTCCAACTTGATTGATAAACAGCATGCATGAATGAGACTGAGGCACCCACCTTAAAATGACGTAAAAACTATTAGTAACTACCTAGCCAGCTACCGAAAGTTAAGTGTGAATGCAAACATTGACAGACGTGACCACTGACAGTAGTTAGCTAGCTAGCCTATTAGGCCCAGCCGATAGTTGAACTACGCTAGCTAGCGCCGTAGCGGGTTAGCAAAGCTCGCACAAAGTGGCAATCGAAGGAACATATTGCCTCTGAGCATTGCTTAGATTATTAAAGGAAGGAAATTGCATGATAAAATTATTCTCACCGTCAGTCCGGTACCCAGCACGATAACGTCGTATTCTTCATTCATTTTCCCAAGTATTTTCTCCTCTTTTCCTGAATATTGGCCCGAAGAAAATGGAGATCTGCAAAGCTGGAAATGAAAGGGGCTGCGGTTCAACGTCAAGCGATTCCGCTTCACTGTAGGGGAGGAGCCTATAGTCTTCTGTCAATAACGGGGAACATTTCTCCAATTGCTGGGTATTGATAATGAATCGATTATGTACTTATCAAAGGACATTTCCCTAAGGATCTTTTTCATAAGTGTCGTGCTTTTATTCATCTTGTAATTTGTAAAAGTATACTGTAGCTACCGTACTCCACCACCTGCCTATGCTGAGTATTTATTTTGTCAGAGGTGTCCTCTTAATGACATTGTCCTTAGACAGCCACATTATACGGAGTGTGTAAATTCTCTCCCATGTGTGCGTGTGTGTTCGTTTGCTATGCATAGATCACCTTGGTTCACTAAGCAACTCTTTCCCAGATGGACAGGATCCAGTCCACATTGCATCCTCAGTTTGCTTTGGTGAGTCATAAAGTCAGGTGACAAACCCACAATCATAACAACATATACACTCTCCTAATCCTTTCTTTAATCCTTCATATTCCAAGCTGCCACCTGGTATTAGGTCTAAAAACATATGCAGTGCCTCCAGAAAGTATTCACACCCCTTTACTTTTTCCACATTTTGTTGTGTTACAGCCTGAATTTAAAGTGGATTACATTTAGATTGTTGGTCACTAGCCTACACACTACCAAACATTTTCATAATTAAAAATGAAAAGTTGAAATGTCTTGTGTCAATAAGTATTCAACCCCTTTGTTATGGCAAGCCTAAATCATTTTAGGAGTAGAAATGTGCTTAACAAGTCACATAATAGTGCCGTGTAGCTCAGTTGGTAGAGCATGGCGCTTGTAACGCCAGGGTTGTGGGTTCCATTCCCACGGGGGGCCAGTATGAAAAATGTATGCACTCACTAACTGTAAGTCGCTCTGGATAAGAGTGTCTGCTAAATGTAAAATAATAAGTTGCATGGAGTCACTCTGTGTGCAATAATAGTGTTTAACATGATTTTTGAATGACTACTTCATCTCTGAAACCCCACACAGAATATCTGTAAAATCCCTCAGTCAAGCAGTGAATTTCAAACACAGATTCAACCACAAAGACCAGGGAGTTTTTCCAATGCCTCGCAAAGAAGGACACCTATTGGTAGGAGGGTAAAAAAATAAAATAAAATAAAAGCAGACGTTGAATATCCTTTTGAACAAGGTGAAGTTATTAATTACACTTTTCATGGTGTATCAATACACCCAGTCACTACAAAAAGCCAGCAGCATACCACCCTGCATCCCACTGCTGGCTTGCCTCAGGTTAAGCAGGCTTAGTCTTGGTCAGTCCCTGGATGGGAGACCAGATGCTGCTAGATGTGGTGTTGATGTTGGAGGGCCAGTAGGAGGCACTCTTTCCTCGGGTCTGCAAAAAAATGTATCCCAGGGCAGTGAAATTTCCTTGTGTAGGGTGCTGTCTTTCAGATGGGATGTTAAATGGGTGTCTTGACTCTCTGTAGTCACTAGAGATCCCATGGCACTTATTGTAAGAGTAGGGGTGTTAACCCTGGTGTCCTGACTAAATTCCCATCGTGGCCACCTAATCATCCCCAGCTTCTGATTGGCTCATTCCTCTCCCCTGTAACTATTCCCCAGGTCATTGCTGTAAATTATAATGTCTTTCTTAACTCAGTTGCTGGAGAGGAAGGAAACTGCTCAGGGATTTCACCATGAGGCTAATGGTGACTTCAGGGCTCCTGAGTGGCGCAGCGGTCTAAGGCACTGCATCTCTGTCACTACAGACCCTGGTTCAATTCCAGGCTGTATCACAATCTGGCTGTGATTGGGAGTCCCATAGGGCAGTGCACAATTAGGCTGTCATTGTAAATAAGAATTTGTTCTCAACTTACTTGCCTAGTTAAATAAAAAAAACATTTACATAGTTTAATGGCTGTGATAAGAGTAAACTGAGGATGGCTCAACAACATTGTAGTTACTCTACAATACTAAATTAATGGACAGAGTGAAAAGAAGGAAGCCTGTACAGAAAAATATTTCACTTTTTGTCCTGAATACAAAGTGTTATGTTTGGGGTACATCCAACCCAACACATCACTTACTACCACTCTTCATATTTTCAAGCATGGTGGTGGCTGCATCATGTTATGGGTATGCTTGTCATTGGCAAGGACTAGGGAGTTTTTTAGGATTAAAATAAACAGAATAGAGCTAAGCACAGGCAAAATCCTAGAGGAAAACCTGGTTCAGCCTGCTCTCCAACAGACATTGGGAGACAAATTCGCCTTTCAGCAGGACAATAACCTAAAACACAAGGCCAAATCTACACTGGAGTTGATTCCCAAGACAACATTTAATGTTCCTGAGTGGCCTAGTTACAGTTTTGACTTGAATCGGCTTGAAAATCTATGTCAAGTCTTGAAAATGGCTGTCTAGCAATGATCAACAATCAACTTGACAGAGCTTGAAGAATTTTAAAAAGAATAATGTGCAAATATTGTACAACCCAGGTGTGCAAAGCTCTTAGAAACGTACCCAGAAAGACTCACAGCTGTAATCACTGACAAAGGTGATTTTAACATGTATTGACTCAGTAGGTTGAATACTTATCTAATCAAGATATATCAGTGTTTTATTTGTAATGTATTTTTTTACGAATGTTAGAATTTTTCTTCCACCTTACAGAGCATTTTGTGTAGACAGCTGACAAAAAAATTACAATGAAATCAATTTTAATCCCATGTTTTAACACAACAAAATGTGGAAAAGGTTAAGGAGTGTGAATACTTTCTGAAGGCACTGTATGGTTTTCTCCCCATCAACAAAATCCACACAGAAATACATTATATGAAGTTATTATTTTTATTATTCTATTTAAATACAATCTGCCATCCAGAATACCATTAATGTCTATCATTTATTGATTCTCCATTCAGACAGTAGTTTATGTCAAATCACATTCAAACACTTTGAGCACGTCTGGTTTTTTGGCAAGCTGTTGAGCAGTGGTGCCCGAGGCATCCACCTTGTCTACTAGCCCCAGCTGTAGGAGTGTCCTGACCGCTTCTGCATGCTGCCCTGTACACGCCATATGAAGAGCTGGTGGAGGCACAGAGAGACACGGGCAGTAGATTCATTAATCAATGTCAGATCCTTGCTGGTGCAGAGATCTGCACAGTGCACACACAGGGTTGAGGCCTTCACCGGTCCACAGACCCAAAATTCCGAGATCCAACCCGAGTGGGTCCGGGTCCTACATTTTTTTGTGTGTGAGGTGATGAGAACTGCATGAGCTTGTAGCTTATGTCCAGCTGAAACTGGTTACGGCTGCTCACCTCACGTGCGCGAAAGGAGTGAAAGGAGCCTTGGCCTAGGCTACTGTTGACTGCTAAGATGGAGGCCTTTTTCGATAAAGTAAAATGAAAGTTAGAGGAGGAAGAGTATAGTGAAAAGAAGGCGACAAGGGGAATCTTAATATTGTAGTGGACAAATGGACTGAGTGCAACTCGCTATTCAGGTTTAATGTAATTATTTTTTACTTGTATGTATTTATTTTCGTATTTATTGTCATTTGTTTTATCATTATTATTATTGCATATCTTTATTATTATTGTAGGCCTGTTTAATAATCTATACCAGCTCTTTAAATATGCAAAAAGTGTTTTGTTTCATTATGTTGAGACATTTTTGTTGGCTAAATTAAGTTTGAACTGTCTTTTTTAATTTTGTACTCCACATTTAGTTTAATATAGGTTAAAAGTAGGCCTGTTGTAAAATAAATAGCTTTAGCCTATTGCTGTCATTTGTTGTATTTAGATAGTTGCTCCAATATAGGCCTAGTCTGTTCAAAACATTTGTGAAGGTTTAAACCAGTTCTTTAAATATGCAACAAGTGTTTTCTTTGGCCAAATTAAGTTCCATCTGACAAGTATAAAGAAATGCATGTTGGGAACATGGCACCTGCATATCTTTCTCTCTAGGCCTAGGCCTAAGCTTTTCTTCCTTTATATATATTTTTAATAATATCATACAGTGGACGCCTAGACCTGTATGCATGCAATGTCCTGATACATTTAGCGCTCAAATCTCTGCCAGCTGAACGGTGAGGTGGACAATTATTGTTTGAGGGCAGTAAAAACCAATAAAACAATAGGCTATGAAGTTTTGAATATGCTACACATTGAAACACAACTAATAGTTTCTTTTGAAAATTTGTTAGAGTCAGTTTTTAAGGACACGTAGGGCCTAACTGTGGATCATTTGGCCAATATCACTTGTTTATTGATGGCGCTGGCAGCGCCCAGTCTGAGGTTTCTGTCACGCCCTGGCTCTGGGGACTCTTAAATGTTGAGTCAGGGTGTGTAGTTTCTATGTTGTGTTTTTCTATGTTTAGGTTCTAGATCGTTTAGATCTATGTTGGCCAGGGTGGTTCCCAATCAGAGGCAGCTGTAGCTCGTTGTCTCTGATTGGGGACCATACTTAGGCAGCCTTTTGGCACCAGTCAGTGGTGGGATCTTGTTCCGTGTGAGGTATGTTATTTTGTCTACCTTGGACTTCACGGTTCGTTTGTTGTTTTGTCGTGTGTTCAGTACGTAAATAAATATGAATACATATCACGCTGCGCCTTGGTCCTTCTCGTTAATGAACGATCGTGACAGTTTCTTTCTCTGTCTTTCTACTATCTGATCTGAACAGGTCTCTCGGATCCGAAGCAGCACGGGTCTGTTTGGGTCTGTTTTTCCACGGGCCTTTTCAGAACTGGTCTGACTGTCCTCGGGTCCATTCGGAAGGGGTCTCCATTTATTTGATTTGTATTTATGCATATCGGGAAGTGTATTGCTACAAGCAAAGTGCAATTATCATAATGTATATTCATGTGATATTTGAGTGACAAAAAAAGTATAACAATATCTATGGGCTAAAAAAACATAAATAAATAAACGTTAGCTGATATGTGCTAGTTGATCTGGACATTTCTGACAAGTTATAAATAGCTCTCTAAGGTATGCAATGACTAACATGACCAGAGGAACTGATGATGCACTACCCAATTTTGAAATGGCACCTTCTGCATTCTACTATTACAACTTTCAAGAGTAAGTCTAAAGCCGGACTGAGTTCCTTTTGGGTGGGGGGGGGGGGGGGGTGACCCCTTGCCCCACAGTTTGGGAACCACTGCTCTACAGTACCTGTTCTTCCCTTTTTGTCCCTGGCGTGAAGGTCTGCTCCTAATGTGAGGAGTGTTTTGATTGTGCTTGTGTGGCCCTCCTGAAAATATAAAATATCAGGCATGATATAATATGTGCCACAATTTGCCTTTATGTACAGTATAAGCCTGATAATAGACGTTTACAGAATAGAGCTAACCTTGGCAGCGTAGTGCAGGGCAGTGAGCTGCATGTCAGTGGCTGTCTGGTTCACGTCCACTCCGAGGTCCCTCACTACGAACTCTAGCGCCTCCTCCTGGGCTGTGACAGCAACGTGGTGCACCGGCTGGGCCCCCAGGACGTCTGCTGCAGTCGGAGAGGCCTGTGTGACACACAAACACACACACACACACACAGCATAGTCACAAAATCGGTAATGGGGTTAGAGGATTAAAATGTTATAAAACAACATTGTGAAATGCTACTTTTTAGTCGTTTTAAAGTTGATTTGCCACGTGCACAGGATACAACAGTTGTAAAACAGTGCAGTGGAATTCTTACCTTGAGAGCTCTTTCCCAACAATAATAATATAGATAGAAAATATAATAAAAAGAACTACGATGAGAGTTAAAGAAACACGAGAATGCAAGTATATACTGGTCAGTGCCAGTACCTTATTCAATGTGCATGGGTACTGGAGTGGTTTAGGTGGATAAATTTGCCTAATGGGACTAGGGTGGAATTTGAGTGAGATACACACCAGCTGTTTTTTTTTGCAAATCTCAGTTATCTCAGCTATGTTTTGATAGATGGAAATTGTATTTTCCGCCAGAGTCTCCAGTATACCTGGTGCTTCTCCAGCAGTAGTTTGGCCACAGATATGTGTCCGTTCCTCACTGTGTCCATAAATAGGAGTGACCCCACAGCTGTCCCTGCCATCCGGAACATAACCACACCTGCAAACAGAGAAGTGAGGGTCAGTTAGCGCTACACCCACACACAATTACACATGATCACATTAACACACAGAGACTCAACTCTGACACTCTAACATGCCTTCTCACAAATATGCAAACACTCTGAGTTAGACATACCTAATTCATCCTCACACACACACACACACACACACACACACACACACACACACACACACACACACACACACACACATAGACAAACACACCTCTGTACCAAGATGCTGACCACTTCTTCACAGCCGTGCATCGCTGTAGGAACAGAGAATAGACAGAGAAGGGGTAATGAACCAGAAAAAAACGGTGATATGTTATGCGTATTGTTCAAAATACCTGTGAATATGTCCAGACCTGTGACATGTCTGATTTGTTAGCACAGTGATTACCTGCAGTGTGCAGAGGAGTCCCCAGCGTCTTGCTCTCTGTCCTCCAGACTTCAGGGTTGGCCAGTAGGAGGTGCTGTATGACCGCTGGGTCTCCCTCCCTGCAGGCGATGTGGAAAGAGTTCCAGCCGTCCTTGTTCTTCAGCGTGGGGTCAGCCCCATGCGACAGCAGTTCCTGGATCACACCCAGGTTCCTCCGGGTGCAGGCCATCATCAGAGGGGTCTTGGAAGGAGAGGTGGGTCACGATGGTGGACCAGAGTTGCATATATCTCAATTCAGGTGCATGTGTTGCATTGTGTGAGGTAATTTTTTTGGTGAACAATTGTTTTTATTGGGTCACAAAGGCAATACAATCAATAAAAACAATAATAAAAATGTGCCAATTTTTAAACAACAACACCCTCCCACCCCAATTTTGTGTAGTAATTAATGCTTTGTTATGTTCATAGTAGTGTGTTGAAAATGGTGTACTATGCAGGCAGGGTGATATTACATGGACCTATTAAAACATCTCCTTCGAGCCGGATTTGAACCAGCGACCTAAGGATTTCAGCAGTTAGCCTCTACAGTCCTCCGCTCTACCAACTGAGCTATCGAAGGGAGATACATACAAGAAGAAAAAGCAGGATTGTATTCGTTAGTGTACACGGTAGCAAAACGTTTTGCAACAGAAAACAAAAAACAAGCCTCTCTTATTGGACAAATTCTGGTAGTTCTTCCCCGTTTCGGCTGGTTGCTTCCATTTGCTCTCTAATGAATATGACTCTGGTCATTCAATTAATCAGTACCCATATGATAAATTGAAACCAGAACTTTAATCGAATCTTAGAACAACTTATTTGTTATTTGATATATGACACACACACACAAGGTCACCCACTACTGTTACTATTTATTATTATTATTATTATTATTATTATTATTATTATTTATTTAAGCTGCTAGACCAAGTCACTTCTCACTTTACTACTTATATAACGGTCATCATAATTTGACAAAAATAATTTTATAAATCATACTGTTTATTTTATTGTGTACATCTCACAACTAGTTGTATGACCTTTTCTCTTCCACTTTTTATTGTTATTTTTGGACTTAGTATTTGGCATTTGATTGATAATGTACTGCATTGTTGAGGCTGAAAAAAGTTTCCTTCGAGCCGGATTTGAACCAGCGACCTAAGGATTTCAGCATTTAGCCTCTACAGTCCTCCGCTCTACCAACTGAGCTATCGAAGGGGGATAAATGACCTGGGAAAAAAATATGTTTTTCAATACACCTTTCAATAAAAAATACTTGAAAATCTACAACTTCTTTTTTATTTCGTTTAAAAAGTATAAGGAATAACGTTGTCTTAATGTTTGGACATGGCATGCGTGTCAATGTATGTCTCACCAATCAGCCTTTTTTAAGCAGTCTACTTTGGCTCCTTCGGTGATCAGATAGCGCAAACACTCCCCCTGTCCCATGGACGCAGCTTCATGCAGAGCTCTTTTGTAGTCGGTATTGTACAGCTCTATGTCCATCCCAATATCTTTTACTAAAAATTGCACAATGTCCAAGTGGCCATGACGGACGGCATAATGCAACAACGTATCACCCGATTTCCCGAAATGTTTCTTGTTGACAAAATGTGCAACAATGTTGCCACCAAGTTCCTTTTTAAGCGTGCACAATTCGCCATCCTGGGTAAGCTTGATTAAATATTTCAATGCGTTCTCATCATCCATTGAACATATAAACTTACTAAAGTTACCTATTTGACACCGTTTAAACTGCTAAAATTGCTTGATACTGTATCTGATCAGAAGCTAGGGATTGCATGGTGACAAGTAGGTTAAATTGTTGGTCAACCAAAAGCCTACACATTTAATTTGAGTTCTACTCTACTTTTTGCCTTAAAAACGCAAAAGATAGGACATGTGAACTTAATACCTGACAATAATGCGTAAAAGCAATGCACAACACTGTTCTACCATAGGCTATGGGTTAAAATAGCTTGCATCATATTCAGCACGAAATTCGGTGATATACTCTGATCGTCCAGTAGGCTGTAGCAGAATTGTGCACTGGGGCTTGTAGTCTTTGATAGTGATTACGCTCAAAATAACTTATATTGAACGATAATTCATAGGTTGGGGTGTATTACATTTTATTGACTTAAACTTAGTAAATAATAACTTCTGCTTCCAATGGTAGTTGCCTCAAATTATGTAGGCCTATATAGTAAACGTATTCAGTTGTAGGCCTATAGATCTACTTTTCTTTTTACAATAGGCCAAAACATGTAAAGATAGGCTATTTAAAAAACATGGCGTGTAATGAAGTGTAATACAATCTCAGTAATTATCTACAAACCAAAGGCATGTGGCCCCCGCGGAGCTTTCCATGGGTGAACAAGAGTAGGCACATCTGGAAAGATCTTCCTGAAGAAGAAGAAAAAAATGTTGTAAAGTTGAGTGGGTGAAGGAGATTCTGTCTGTAGCATTTATTCAAGACCATGCGCAGAGACCGGTGGATACTGAAGCTGTGAGAATAATTGTGGCACTTTCTCCCGGTAAATTACTTTATTTTATTACACGTTGTTGAATGAAGAGTTTTGCTTAGAAAGTGTGCGTTGTTGTGCATAGCCTGCATTGTTCTAAAGCTAGAAGAGGAGACACACCCCTTTTTTATGACTGTATTTTGATACTATTTTAAAAAATATTGATCATAATCTAGTTGGGTGTATACTTTTATTGATAAATTGTAATATAACTCTGCTCCAAAGTGTTCCTCATTTAGCCTATTACGATTTTGTGGCCAATACTTTCTTTACAAAAGCAAACATGTAAATAGGCTATTTAAAACATGCGTGTATGATGTATACCATCTCAGTATTTGCTACACAAGGCATGCCCCGCGAGCTTCCATGGAACAAGAGAGCACATTGGAAAGATCTTCCTGAAAAGAAGAAAAAATGTTGTAAAGTTGAGTGGGTGAAGGAGATTTGTCTGTAGCATTTATTCAGACATGCGCAGAGACCGGTGGATACTGAAGCTGTAGAATAATGTGGCACTTCTCCGGTAAATACTTTTTATTACACGTGTTGAATGAAGAGTTTCTAAATTGCGTTTTGTGCATAGCCTGCATTGCTCTAAAGCTAGAAGAGGAGACACACCTCTTTTTATGAACGTAATATTTATACATATTTTAAAAAAATCATTATTATAATCTATGTGTGATGCATTGAGTAGATTGCTATAGGTTAATCTGATCTTTTTTTTATTTCATTTGTGCAATTGTTACATAAACCAATGTAAGGCTACTAAAAACAACTTAATCTTGTAAACCCCTGATTAAGCCATATCTATGGCTATCCATCTCTGTACATTTAATTATAATTTAGATTAGTTTAAAGAAAGTTGTCCCAAAGAGCATTAAAATGTGTGTAGAGAACATTGAAAAGAGTCTGGAACCCCTAAAAACAAATGAACACAATCCAAAACTCTGTCACCCTTTTTATGTAATTGTTGTAGAAGACAATAACATTGTTATGTATGAGAGGAAATTGAACATGAGCGCAAAACACTTCACCTAATGGTTATTTTACAAGCACTAAGAAACATTACCAAGTCATTTATACTGGCTCAGTCTTGGATAGTAATGCTTTCTACAGAGGAGAACTTGCCCAGAAAATCTGTCTGCAGCATATGTGAAAAGTTTGAACTAATAGTGATACCATTATCTCCATCTTACATCAATGGAGTGGCAGTATTTTCTCTGAAAATGGACAGAATAGAACAGTATGATGATCTCACAGCAGAACTAGTTTTTGTTGGTTTATCCAGCTCCAAACAGAACACAGCTTGTCATGTCACTTTTATAGATTGTTTATAGAGTAGTTTACATCTCAACTCTCTACTGTTTACTTACACATTGCATCCAAAGGAGACAGAGAGGGTGAGAGAGACTGAGAAACATCAGTGTCGAGAGAGTTAGAATTTAAGCAAAATAAATCGAGGGATAGAAATATAGCCTCTTGGGAGAGACAGACAAAAGCTTACTGAAAAATGCCCCTAGGATGGAAGCACCAAGAGGCTTTTCAAAACCAGATCCACATGCGTGCAGTCACCAGACCCTTGGGGTGCTATGTATGTCCCAGAGAGAAACAGTACAGGATGTACTGCATACTACACTAGATATAACTGTATTAGCCAACACCTTGGGCTACGGTATACATTTACCATACTGATAAAGTAATATAGAGAGTGACCAGTTATAAAAGTCATGACATGCAATTATCATGTCTGTTCAGTTCTGCAGTTGCGGTGTGTGGATTATCATACTGTGTAGGCTATGTGATCCTCATGGCATAAACATGATAACGTTGCAGGATCTTTACTTCCATCAGCAAATGTTTCAGTGGAAACAGACTAGGGTGCAGGTAGCCTAGTGATTAGAGCATTGAGACAGTAAATGAAAGGTTGCTAGTTTGAATCCCTGAGCCGACAAGGTGAAAAATCGGTCGTTGAGCAAGGCACTTAACCCTAATTGCGCCAGGGGCGCTGGACAATGGTGACCCTGGCCGTGACCCTACTCTCCGAGGGTGTCTCATGGGGAGTTGGGATATGCAAAAAACACATCTCCAATTCACTCATGCGTATAATACACACTTTTACATGTGTGAAATAGGACAAATATAAGGACCCACCAAATGATTTTATATTATAAACCAGTTTTGTTTGTTATTTTTACTGCTGCTCTTTAATTATTTGTTACTTTTATTTCGTATTATTTTACATTTCTCTTTTTTTAGTATTTTTGTTATTTTTTGTATTTGTTAATTTATTGTTTTTTTCTTTTTTTTGTGTTTTTGTGTGTATTTTTTTTGGTATTCTTTCTTAAAACTGCATTGTTGGTTAAGGGCTTGTAAGTAAGCATTTCACTGTAAGGTCTACACCTGTTGTATTCGGCGCATGTGACAAATACAATTTGATTTGAGTTGAGTTGGTCTCAACATTTGTTTTTATTTACTGTACCCCCAATCACATTTCACTCTGCCCAAAGTACTCCATCTTGTGCCCCCTCATCTGCAACCAATCATTAGGTCTATGTTCTTATGACTCTTCCTAAGTACCTCCTGTGGATAGGCGAGGTACCCTGAGGGGTACTGGTAAACAACTCAGGCTCAGGTGAAGCCCAATATTAAACTATTAATGTTGATTTGGAGGTGTGTTTGCCAGATTGTTTATTGTGTCAGATGGGTTTTCCTGTATTTAATAGCTGTTGTGAGGACTGTGTCTCTCAGAGGACTACCAGATCCTGTTTGGGAGCACATCTGGGGCATGCTCTGGGAAGGGTTTATGTCTGTGAAGACACCCTTCTGGATCCTCAACTGAGTGCTAATGCCAAGGAATATGGCACTCCCCCGCTTACTCTTTGTCTTAGTGTCTGTCTGTCTGCCTCTGAATCTCACTGCTCTCTGCTTCTCTCTGTCTTTTCAGATGTGGCTGGAAGAAACATGATCAATGGCTCTTTTGAGGAAAAGTGAGTGACCACAGGACTTTGTAATTGCCCTTGCCCATACACGTTTTTACATCATTACTTTTTCATATACACTACCAGTCAAAAGTTTGGACACATCTACGCATTCAAGGGTTTTTCTTTATTTTTACTATTTTCTACATTGTAGAATAATAGTGAAGACATCAAAACTATGAAATAACATATATGGAATCATGTAGTAACCCAAAAAGTGTTAAACAAACCAAAATATATTTTATATTTGAGATTCTTCAAATAGCCACCCTTTGTCTTGATGACAGTTTTGCACACTCTTGGCATTCTCTCAACCAGCTTCATGAGGTAGTCACCTGGAATGCATTTCAATTAACAGGTGTGCCTTCTTAAAAGTTAATTTGTGGAATTTCTTTCCTTCTTAATGTGTTTGAGCCAATCAGTTGTGTTGTGACAAGGTAGGGGGGTATACAGAAGATAGCCCATCTCAACATCAACTGTTCAGAGGGGACTGTGTGAATCAGGTCTTCATGGTCGAATTGCTTTAAAGAAACCACTACTAAAAGGACACCAATAAGAAGAGACCTGCTTGGGCCAAGAAACACGAGCAATGGACATTAGACCGGTGGAAATGTGTCCTTTGGTCTTGAGTCCAAATTGGAGATTTTTGGTTCCAACCGCCGTGTCTTTGTGAGATGTGGTGTGGGTGAACGGTTGATCTCCGCATGTGTAGACACGGACACGAACGATCTGCTTGCGTGTTGATACACTGGTGGTTTGTTGTGGCCGAGTATTGGCGCTAAACCGTGTTCTGTAGCTCAGCTGGTAGAGCACGGCGCTTGTAACGCCAAGGTAGTGGGTTCGATCCCCGGGACCACCCATACATAAAAATGTATGCACGCATGACTGTAAGTCGCTTTGGATAAAAGCGTCTGCTAAATGGCATATTTATTTATTTATTTATTTTGTTGGAGTCCGGCATGCTAGCTGGCTGTGGCATCTTATGACTACAGTGGGGAAAAAAAGTATTTAGTCAGCCACCAATTGTGCAAGTTCTCCCACTTAAAAAGATGAGAGAGGCCTGTAATTTTCATCATAGGTACACGTCAACTATGACAGACAAAATCAGAAAAAAAAATCCAGAAAATCACATTGTAGGATTTTTAATGAATTTATTGGCAAATGATGGTGGAAAATAAGTATTTGGTCAATAACAAAAGTTTCTCAATACTTTGTTATATACCCTTTGTTGGCAATGACACAGGTCAAACGTTTTCTGTAAGTCTTCACAAGGTTTTCACACACTGTTGCTTGTATTTTGGCCCATTCCTCCATGCAGATCTCCTCTAGAGCAGTGATGTTTTGGGGCTGTCGCTGGGCAACACAGACTTTCAACTCCCTCCAAAGATTTTCTATGGGGTTGAGATCTGGAGACTGGCTAGGCCACTCCAGGACCTTGAAATGCTTCTTACGAAGCCACTCCTTCGTTGCCCGGGCGGTGTGTTTGGGATCATTGTCATGCTGAAAGACCCAGCCACGTTTCATCTTCAATGCCCTTGCTGATGGAAGGAGGTTTTCACTCAAAATCTCAAGATACATGGCCCCATTCATTCTTTCCTTTACACGGATCAGTCGTCCTGGTCCCTTTGCAGAAAAACTGCCCAAAAGCATGATGTTTCCACCCCCATGCTTCACAGTAGGTATGGTGTTCTTTGGATGCAACTCAGCATTCTTTGTCCTCCAAACACGACGAGTTGAGTTTTTACCAAAAAGTTATATTTTGGTTTCATCTGACCATATGACATTCTCCCAATCCTCTTCTGGATCATCCAAATGCACTTCAGACGGGCCTGGACATGTACTGGCTTAAGCAGGGGGACACGTCTCGCACTGCAGGATTTGAGTCCATGGCGGCGTAGTGTGTTACTGATGGTAGTCTTTGTTACTTTGGTCCCAGCTCTCTGCAGGTCATTCACTAGGTCCCCCCGTGTGGTTCTGGGATTTTTGCTCACCGTTCTTGTGATAATTTTGACCCCACGGGGTGAGATCTTGCGTGGAGCCCCAGATTGAGGGAGATTATCAGTGGTCTTGTATGTCTTCCATTTCCTAATAATTGCTCCCACAGTTGATTTCTTCAAACCAAGCTGCTTACCTATTGCAGATTCAGTCTTCCCAGCCTGGTGCAAGTCTACAATTTTGTTTCTGGTGTCCTTTGACAGCTCTTTGGTCTTGGCCATTGTGGAGTTTGGAGTTTGACTGTTTGAGGTTGTGGACAGGTGTCTTTTATACTGATAACAAGTTCAAACAGGTGCCATTAATACAGGTAACGAGTGGAGGACAGAGGAGCCTCTTAAAGAAGAAGTTACAGGTCTGTGAGAGCCAGAAATCTTGCTTGTTTGTAGGTGACCAAATAGTTATTTTCCACCATAATTTGCAAATAAATTCATTAAAAATCCTACAATGGGATTTTCTGGATTTTTTTTTCTCAATTTGTCTGTCATAGTTGATGTGTACCTATGATAAAAATTACAGGCCTCTCTCATCTTTTTAAGTGGGAGAACTTGCACAATTGGTGGCTGACTAAATACTTTTTTCCCCCACTGTAAGTGCCAGGACGATTTTCACGGAATAATACTGCACCTAGTTAGCTAGCTGAATAAACTAAGTTAGTCTATTCCTAGAAAACATTGAACCGCTGTAGTTTACAACAATTATAGTTTCTGAGGTGGAAGTTGGGAGAGTTATATTTGGGAGTTGTGGTGAGGGAGGCCCCGCTCTCTCCTTTCCCAGATGTTTAGTTCATTTCATTCCGATCTCCTCTGCATTATTGTAGCCATCTGCTGCAGCCTGTCAACTATGCCTCTGCCTATCCCTGTTCTCTCCTCTCTGCACAGGCTACACAAACGCCTCACACCGCGTAGCTGCTGCCTCTCTAACCTGGTGGTCCCTGAACGCACCACCCACGTGGAGTTCCAGGTCTCAGGCAGCCTCTGGAACTGCCGTTCTGCTGCCAACAAGGCAGAGTTCATCTCAGCCTATGCTACCCTCCAGTCCCTCGACTTCTTGGCGCTGACGGAAACATGGATTACCACTGAAAACACTGCTACTCCTACTGCTCTCTCCTCGTCTGACCATGTGTTCTCGCATACCCCGAGAGCATCTGGTCAGCGGGGTGGTGGCACAGGAATCCTCATCTCTCCCAAGTGGACATTCTCAATTTTTCCCCTGACCCATCTGTCTATCTCCTCATTTGAATTCCATGCTGTCACAGTCACTAGCCCATTTAAGCTTAATATCCTTGTCATCTATCGCCCTCTAGGTTCCCTTGGAGAGTTCATCAATGAGCTTGACGCCTTGATAAGTTCCTTTCCTGAGGATGGCTCACCCCTCACAGTTCTGGGGGATTTCAACCTCCCTACGTCTACATTTGACTCATTTCTCTCTGCCTCCTTATTTCCACTCCTCTCCTCTTTTGACCTCACCCTCTCACCGTCCCCCCCCTACTCACAAGGCAGGCAATACGCTTGACCTCATCTTTACTAGATGCTGTTCTTCTACTAATCTCACTGCAACTCCCCTCCATGTCTCCGACCACTACTTTGTATCCTTTTCTCTCTCGCTCTCCTCCAACACTACTCACTCTGCCCCTACACAGATGGTAATGCGCCGTCGCAACCTTCGCTCGCGCGCTCCCGCTACTCTCTCCTCTTCCATCCTATCATCTCTCCCTCTGCTCAATCCGTTCCACCTCCAATCTCCTGATATCTGCCTCCTCAACCCCTCCTCTCCGTCCCTTCTGCATCCTTTGACCTCTCTATGTCCCCCTAATCCGCCCGGCCGGCTCGGCCCTCCCCTCCAGCTCCCGTGGCTTGAATGACTCATTGCGACTCACAGAACAGAGCTCCGGGCAGCTGACGGAAATGGAAGAAAACTAGACTCCCGCGGACCTGGCATCTTTTCACTCCTCCTCTCTACATTTTCTTCATTGTTTCTGCTGCTAAGCCACTTTCTACCACTCCTAAATTCCAAGCATCTGCCTCTAACCCTAGAAGCTCTTTGCCACATTCTCCTCCCTGCTAACCCCTACAACTATATATATATAATATATATCTATATATATATATATATATATATATATATTATAAAATTTAAAACATGGGGGGATGGAAGTGATGCAGACAATACATTGATAGAAGAATAAAATCTTATCTGCAATATTAAGCTGATCCATTCCCCCCGAAAAATGAAAATAACATAAATAATAAAAAATAAAAACCCCTACAACTCATCCAGAATGCTGCAGCCCGTCTGGTGTTCAACCTTCCCAAGTTCTCTCACGTCACCCCGCTCCTCCGCACACTCCACTGGCTTCCAGTTGAAGCTCGCATCTGCTACAAGACCATGGTGCTTGCCTACGGAGCTGTGAGGGGAACGGCACCTCCGTACCTTCAGGCTCTGATCAGTCCCTACACCCAAACGAGGGCATTGCGTTCATCCACCTCTGGCCTGCTGGCTCCCCTACCTCTGCGGAAGCATAGTTCCCGCTCAGCCCAGTCAAAACTGTTCGCTGCTCTGGCACCCCAATGGTGGAACAAGCTCCCTCACGACGCCAGGACAGCGGAGTCACTCACCACCTTCCGGAGACATTTGAAACCCCACCTCTTTAAGGAATACCTGGGATAGGATAAAGTAATCCTTCTACCCCCCCGCTTACCCCAACCCAAACCCCAACCCAAAAACAAAAAAACAAAAAAAAGCATTGTAAAGTTGTGATCCCACTGGCTATAAGGTGAATGCACCTATTTGTAAGTCGCTCTGGATAAGAGCGTCTGCTAAATGACGTAAATGTAAATGTAAAATGTGTAGTTCCCATCGTAAAGCATGGAGGAGGAGGTGTTATGTTGTGGGGGTGCTTTGCTGGTGACACTGTCTGTGATTTATTTAGAATTCAAGGCACACTTAACCAGCATGGCTACCACAGCATTCTGCAGCGATACGCCATCCCATCTGGTTTGGGCTTAGTGGGACTATCATTTGTTTTTCAGCAGGACAATGACCCAACACACCTCAGGCTGTATAAGGGCTATTTGACCAAGAAGGAGAGTGATAGAGTGCTGCATCAGATGACCTGGCCTCCACAATCCCCACAACCTCAACCTAATTGAGATGGTTTGGGATGAGTCGGACGGCAGAGTGAAGGAAAAACAGCCAACAAGTGCTAAGCATAAGTGGGAACTCCTTCAAGACTGTTGGAAAAGCATTCCAGGTGAAGCTGGTTGAGAGAATGCCAAGAGTGTGCAAAGCTGTCATCAAGGCAAAGGGTGGCTATTTGAAGAATGTCAAATATAAAATATATTTTGATTTGTTTAACACTGTTTTGGTTACTACATGATTCCATATGTGTTATTTCATAGTGTTGATGTCTTGACTATTATTCTACAATGCAGAAAATAGTAAAAATAAAGAAAAACCCTGGAATGCGTAGGTGTGTCCAAACTTTTGACTGGTAGTGTATATTCAACGAGTAGTAAAAACATTGTTGCATGTAAATAATGGGTTTTGCTCCACTCTTATAAACATGGTGCCTGTAGCAGAGATCAGTGTAGCCATTTTAAAGCACAACCCCCCAGATTCCTCTGGAGTATACTTTGCCTCAGCTGAGTTGGAACGCTTCCAACACCTCCATAAATTATGTTTGAGACTCTCTGTGTGTGTGTGTGTGTGTGTGTGTGTGTGTTGCCAATCCCAAATGTTCCTGAACACTGATGAGGTAACCAGGAAAGGGAGCCCAGAAAAGAGTCCCATTTCATCATCTCAGTCCTCTGTTCTTCACATTCAATACATAATGCAACCATTCAAGGATTTTTAATCAGTGTCCACAACAGTTGTGCTTTGTTCTACACCCTTCTTTTATACAGTCTATGCTTTACTTAGAAAGTTAACAGATGTCTTTACTCAAACAACGCAAACTGTTGATTTTGGCACAGAGGGCAGCTGATAGCCGGGTTCTTTCAATTTTCCAGAAGTGAAGCAAGATTTTAATGAATATTTTGTTGTTATTGTTGAGGCAGACAGTTTTTAGGTCATCCAGGGGTGAATGTGTCAGAACAAGATTGATGCCACTCAGGTTGACTACAGCTGACACATGGTTGAGGTGTGTGGATAGGGAGAGAAGGGTAGGTGTAACTATTTTATTAGTTAGAATTAGTCGTGGCACCTGGAGGATGAGTCGTAAAAGATTAGAGGTTTTGATAGGGTACAGATGAGAGCCCTGTTTGAGTATCTCAAGGTACAGTAATATGTGATCTGGCATGATTGGATAAGAGGTGACAGTGTTATAGTGAAAACTGTGCTTAAGTTGAACTGGTCCAGTTTGGAAGGACTTCTGCTTCAGTTCCCTTGCATCTGACATTGCAATGACTCAAGTCTACTTCATTGAATGGTCCCTTTCTCTCTCTCTCTCTGCTGTGTCACAGTAAACCATATCCTGCTCATGTTGCTGGTTCTCATAGTGTGTCTACTCCTGCATAGTAAGCTGTTCAGAGGCCTGTCTCAGCCCAAACTCAAACTCACAGGTAATTCCCCCCAGCTTCTTTAAACAGGTAAGAACAGGTCCCACTCTAAAGACACACTGACCTGAGAGCCAGGTGCAGGCCACGGCAAGAGAAAGAAACAGGACTAGAACCTGCCAAGAACAGTAATTGACACGAGGCTATGAATGCCTGTTTATTTAAAGAGAAGCATTTCCTTTGCCACTTATGGGATAGCTTTTAGGGGGCAAATTACTTTGCAATTGAAATGTTAAAGCTTATGGAGTTCCTTGAATAGTTGTAATAGCTTTTAAAAATAGATGTGACTACTTGGCCAAGCCCAGACTGGTTGTACTTCCCTCACAGAAACCAGGAAGGACCCAGAGCGTGCGCCCAACGTTCCTGTGGAGAAGGCTGCGGAGGGAGAGGATGACATCCCAGTGGTCATCTGTGCTGCGGAGGAACGCATGGGCGGTGCCATGGCAACCATCAACAGCATCCATAGCAACACAGAGGCCATCGTGTTCTTCTATATTGTCACTCTTCGTGATGCCATCAAGCTGACAAGGTGTTTCACACTAATCCCTCCCCCTTCCATCACTGCTTGATTTGTAGCAATTTCAGTTCCTAGTTCCAACCCAGGATGTTTTCATTAATTGATTATCTGATAATTGTTTCAATTAAGGCCACAAAGGACAACTAAGAAATTACTTTTAAATGGAGTGAGTTGAACTGTCATTAGTATTCCTTTGTCTTCATGTGTGTCTTCATAGACAGTACATAGAGAAGACCAAGCTGAAGGGCATCAAGTATAAGATTCTGGAGTTCAACCCCATGGTTCTGAAAGGGAAGGTGAAACCAGACTCCTCCCGACCAGATCTGCTGCACCCAGTGAGTACACACATACACCCACATAGGAAGTCATTCTAACCTAACCACAGTCACGGTCCCTAAAGTCCCTGTTTTGGTTGTTTTGCAGCTCAACTTTGTACGCTTTTACTTGCCGCTCCTTGATATCAGCCACAAGAGGGTGATCTACTTAGACGACGATGTCATTGTGCAAGGTACAGAAATGTGACCTTATCTTTGTGCAATTCAGTCCAGTTTTATCTTGAGCTGTAGCTGCAATAAATGGGTGTCTGTATTTTCAGTATTTACATTCACTAATGACAGGTGACATCAAGGACCTGTACCATACCAAGCTGGAGAAAGGCCATGCTGCTGCCTTCGCCACAGACTGTGACCTGCCCTCCACCCACGAAATGGTGCGCAGTGTGGGCATGCAGGTCAGTGTCATTTTTTAGCCACAAGAGGGCATTGTTTGCCAAAATAAGAGCAGAGGTACCTCTACTACAATCAATCCCAGTAAAGGCCAATATATTGAATTTGAGTTTATCCTATGCCTAGCCAAGAAGATACTCACTAATTCTCTTCTGAAATAACAACCTGACGAGCTGTCTCATAGATCTCAATGCTGGGAAAATGTGATCAGTTTGTCTTCGATTCTGAATCCAAATCAAATTCCTTCCCTAATGTTCTTATCTCCCAGACAACATACATGGGCTTCCTGGACTACAGGAAACAGGAAGTGAGGGACCTGGGGATCAACCCCAGCGACTGCTCATTCAACCCTGGGGTGTTTGTGGCCGACATTGGGGAGTGGAAGAAACAGAAGATCACCAAACAGCTGGAGAAATGGATGGAGGAGAACTTCAGGTGAGTAGAGAAGTATGTGTGGACCTGTGATCATATGTTTCCACATAACCACTAAACTGATCTGAGACCAGGTGAACCCAGAATAAATTAACCCTGCTGTCTATAATAATAATAATAATAAACAGATATTCCTATGAAAGATTATTATTACTTCTATTCAGTTCTACATTATTTCATTTGAATATCATGATTAGAGAAATTAAATACTCATTTTCTACTTGAATGCCCCCCTCCTCCTCCTCCTCTCTTCCCCCTTTTCCTCTCTAGGGAAAACATATACAGCAGTGCCATGGCAGGGGGCGTGGCGACTCCTCCGATGCTGATCGTGTTCCATGACAAATACACAATCATCGATCCTCTGTGGCACGTCCGACACTTGGGTAAGATCGCCTCACCTTGATGACATCATCACACACCTCGTACACAGCACAGAAGAGCCATGAATAGAGATAGAGGTGTATGGCTGTGGTACACAGGCCTGGGTGTCAATTTAGGATAGTCCTTCTAGAGGCTGATTTACTGTGTATTCTGTTTTCTTTTCCTATAGGCTGGAGCCCAGACACCCGCTACTCTGAGACCTTCCTCCAGGGGGCGCACCTGCTGCACTGGAACGGCCGCTTCAAGCCCTGGGACTACCCCTGTGTCCACCTGGACCTGTGGGAGAAGTGGTTCATCCCAGACCCCACCGGGAAATTCTTGTTGGTACGGCCCGAGGGTTAAATCTGAGAGATGTTGAACAGAGGGTTGTGTAGGGTGATGTCTGGCATTTCAGACTGTGAATGCAGGCTGTGAACAGTAATTATTGTGGAGGCCTCTTTCTGATACTAAGTCCTATTGCTGTTTTAACATCTTTTGAGATGGTATTTCTTTGAGGGTTCCTATCAAAACGGCTTCAAGAACTCCAAGCCAGACAAATACAGAAAATTGCTGTATCGAAAATGTATGTGGTCGTTATGAGATGAGTGAGCATAATTGTATTGATTGTTTTGACTTGAAACTCAACAATGTGATCTCTTTTAAAGCTTTTTTCCTGAATAAAAAGCAGGAGATTTGACTGTGGAACGTCTGAAATGGCTGACTATTGGCTAATAAAGAACAGAAATGATGACAGGTAAAAAGACGACCTTTCCGGAAACATTTAATGGTTCTCGTGACAGGAAGTCAGCACTCCATAACCATATCCCGCTCAGTTAAATATTAACAAATTTACAGTCATGTAGGAATGTAGAAAACAAACAAAAACATAATCAACACAAGCTCCTAAAAAATCCAAACACCCACCTGCTCCTTTTCAGCAGAGAAGATGCACCTAGTTCCAGTCAAAGCTCTGCTCCCCAGTTCGCACCCTCACCCTTCCCTCCCACCCCCAAACTCAGTCCGTCTCACAGCTCATCCCTTCCTGTGGCTCCCTGGAAAGAGCAAAGTGAAAAACACATCCGTATATTTGAAGCAAAAAGTCCATCATATTATACATTGCATGTCTTACTAACATTACTAATCCTCTTTTTCTGTGCTAGACTCCCCTCCCATCTTACCGAATCTTCATCTGCCTCCTCATCCGCTTTAAACCTCCTCTTCCTCTGCTTGTTCCTCTGCTTGTTCCTCTGGCTCCTCCTCTGGCTCCTCCTCTGGCTATGATAGGTAAGGAAGTTAAGATAAGCGAAGATATAACTTAGCATCACTTAGTGCCCATTCCGCTCATCCCTAAATCTGCTCTGCTATGTTTACTAGTATACAGAATCCAACCTTGATGTACTGCATTATAACACACTTTGCATAGTCAGAGTGTTTATTATATTGGTAAAGTACCAGGAAGTACTTGTTAACCTAATTCAGATCCTGTTTGCATGTGGGTAATATTAGTTATATTGAGCGTACCTCTTCATTGAGGTCCACGTTCATGCTGAGTCGGAGCATGCGTTCTATCCTGTCTCCATAGGCCTTGGTGTCAGCCAGCTGGTAGCCTGACCGTAGTGTGGCCGTCTCAAACAGCACTACAGCCAGGTCTGAGGCCGTCTGGTCCTCTGCATTATCCTGAGGTAGGGAGGAGAATTCGATACTGTTACATACTGTTAGGAACCTATGATTCATTGGCGTAAATTTGCATGCCCGGTAAAGTAATTTGTGTTCAATTCAAAATGGTACTCACATTTATTCTCTTCAACATTTCTTTAATCAGAGGGTGTTTGGGGTTGATCTCAAGTGTTTTTTTCTGGCTTGCATAATAACTGGAAAACAGAAATAAAAGGTGTCAATACAGAGTAAAAAGCAGAAACTATGTCGACGTCCTCTAGGACTTGAGCCACTACGAGTTCTTGTGAGTAATGTCTTATCCCACAGAACATATACTGTACATTAGGTCAAAATGGTTTCACATTGCTTACTTTGTGGATATGTCTTTTCCTGTCTGGTAGGCCTGTGCCTTCATGATCCTCTCCATGTTACCGGACCAGCCGTACTGGCTGGCTACCAGGGCACAGGGGGAGTTGGTCAGCCTCTGGGACAGCACAGCCTTCTCGATCTACAGACAGATCAAACAGAGAAGATTCAGCTTTTGAAGCTTTTTCAACACCTGGGCAAACATTTTAAAACAGAGATGCTATCTGACTAGTGTATATCCACTAAAAATGCACATTCCCATCGAGCCAATTGAGAAGAACCCTAACCTTGTCCTTCAGGGCGCTGTCCTTCATCCATGTGGTGAGAGGTTCGTACTCCTTCTCTAGGGCCTCCCTCTTCTCCTTGGTCTTGTCGCTCTCGTCAAACTTGACGCCCTCCTTGGCCACGTTCTGGAAGCGCTTGCCGTCGAACTCCGGTAGGGCCTGGATACAGTACTCATCCACAGGCTCTGTCAGGTAGATCACCTCATAACCCTTTTTCAACAGCTTCTCCACGAAGGGAGAGGACTCGGCCTGCCGGAAAAGATGGAGGGGAAATTAAGCTCAGGGCACGATACAGCAAACGGTAGGAAATTTGATATAGGAAGGAGGCTACGATAATGTTTTACAGATCCTGACTCTTCAGAAGGTTTGTAACTAACTCCACCATTATGCTCTACAATGAATGAATGAATGACATTTTATTTGTGTCAAATCGCCAATTGGCAACCCATCCCTTATGGGATTAATTGACACAAACAAACAAACATTACAATAATTCACTGTGGTAATTAAATTATAATTCTTCTTCCGGTGTTCTCTGCATTGCGCATCGCATAAAGAGTGAAAACATGTAAGGTAAAATCTATACATAATAGTAAATAAGGTTATCCAAACAATAATTATATCCCTAGAGCAGTAAAATAATATACATACATACACTGTATATATACACATTTACAAACCATACATATTCTACTCAAAGGTCACCATTTTCTATCACAAAACAGTGCTCTCATCCGGACCCTCACCTCTTTCCTGCTGGTCCCAGCCATGAAGTAGATCTTGTCCTGCTTCTCCTTCATCCTCTCTACGTACTGCTCCAGGCTGGCCAGCACCGTGTCGCTGCTGGAGGTCTGGAAACGTAGCAGCTTGGCCAGACGGGTCCGGTTGGAGTGGTCCTCGATCACACCCAGCTTGATGTTGGTGCCAAACTCCTTCCAGAACTTCTCGTTGTACTGCTCCTCAGCGATCTTCTTGATCATGTCCAGGGTCTTGCGCACCAGCTTCTTGCGAATGACCTGGCCGAAGAAGAGGCATGTTAAGTATACTATTAGCAGAGTGGTTGAGTGAAGAGTGGGGAGGTCCTGTTGGGTTTCTTTGTTTGAGAGAGTGAATTGAAAGCAAGCCTCACCTTGAGAAGTTTGTGTTGCTGGAGAGTTTCTCTTGAGACGTTCAGAGGAAGGTCATCAGAGTCAACCTGATGAGAACGACAATACATTTTAAGACGCAATATGCAAAAATCGCGTCGCAATTTCCTGGTTACTAAAATTCTAATAGTTCGTATTGTGTAGAGAATTACTATACCATCCAAACGGTTGAGAAATATATTTTCCATAACCAAAAATATTGTATTTTCAGCTGTTTTAAGCTGGTGCACAAAACCGAAAGTAAAAGACGCAAAAACGAAACTTAAGAACAGGAAGCATAGAAAAGCACACATAGACCAGATCTACCGCTTCTTAGACTTGCTTTCAATGAGAACGACAGATCTATGACTCACATTTCTATGTGAATTTGGTCGGGTCGCCCAAAAAGTTACATATTGCAGCTTTAACATTCAATCAGTGGGTGCACTTAACTAGCCTGGGTACCAGTCTGATTAGCTAACATTTTACTCCTTGTCATATGCCAATGTTTAGCATGACAGGAGTGGCAATGTTGGCTAAACAGACTGGTACCAGACTTAACCCTGTGGGTTAGTTTATGCATCTACTAAGGAATAATACTTACCACTCCTTTCACAAAGTTCAAGTATTTAGGCATCATGTCATGGAAGTCATCAGTGATGTAAACTCTACGCACAAAGAGCTGAGAGAGATGGAAGATTGTTACTGACAGAGACTAATACGACACATCAATACTGCACTGAGAACCGCTTGTGTGCCAATCAATAGTTGCTTTGTAACCAATCATTGCTGTGGTACCTTAATGAAGTCGTTCTTCTTAGAACCATACTCGTCGAATAGTCCCCGGGGAGCTGCGGCAGGTACAAAGAGGATGGACTTGAAGGTGACCTCCCCCTCTGCTGTGAAGTGGATGTGGGAGATGGGCTCGTCTGTGTCCTGCAAGAACACAACAGAGAGTCAGCGGTTATTTACGAAGACAACCTCTATCTGTCATTAAACCAGAACGCCTGGCAACTGAAGCTTTGCCTGACAAGACAACTTCAGGTCATGTACAGTCAGAGATGAGTCATATCTGACCTAAGATCACCCATTGAGAGGTCTGCTAAATCTAAATGGGAAAATTGACTTCTGTGTAACCACTAAATGGATTAGAGTGTCTGCTAGGAGAGTGAGTCTGAATAAACTGTAGACAGACACCCACCCTGGAGAAGGTCTTGTAGAAGGCCTTGTACTCGTCCTCCTCCACCTCCTTGGCAGGCCTCTGCCAGATGGGCTTGATGTCGTTCATCAGCTCCCAGTCCCACACTGGTCTTCTCCACCTGAGGGGGAAAAGGAGAAAAAGGACAGTCATTAAAACGGAAAGATCCACTTCCATTGAGCGTCGCTTCTATGGAATCTGTTGCTGCTACAGACAGTAGTTTGTTTCAAGGACTATGTTTTACCTTCTTCGTCTTTGGCTTGTCCTTGTCCTCCTCCTCTTCCTCCACCTCCACCTCATCCTCAGTGGTGTCTTCATCCTTCTTCTCTGCTTCTGCATCATCCTCATCAATAGGCTCCTCTACAGTTTCAGTCTTGCTACTCCATACATAGATGGGGAAGTTGATGAACTGGGAGTATTTCCTCACGAGGTTCTTGATGGTCTCCAGCTCTAAGTAGTCTGTTGCCTCCTCCTTCATCACCAAACTAGGGGAGAAAAAGAATGCATTGCAGCGAAGAGCCAGTCAGAGCTTAACGTTAGTCATTACAGTTGTGAACCTTTCAACCTTTCAATAACTAGATTCCTCTGTCTGCACCAGCTGAGCGCGACTACGGACTTCTTGGCCTTTAAAACAGCACAGTGCTGAAACAAAATTTAATTACAGTGAAATCCAATTTGGAGAGTTTATTAGTTCAGCTTTGGTTTGACATTTGTGCCTAATTTAGACAAAGTCTTTTGACTGAATTTTCCACAGCCAGTAAAGACAAAAAGGTCAGAACAAATGAGGCAATAACTACATCGTAACACATGTATTATTGTTATGAGGGTTTGCGTTGCTAAACAACAACTATCCGTCTTCAACTTCATAGACTACGTATTAACAGATCTGTCCATATCCAGCCCAAAATTGCCATAGTAAGTACAAATCATCCACCTACACTAATCCTAATGCTAGCCTGACTGAATGGTTGCTACTTAGTGACAGTTGCCTTGTTGACTTACGTGATGGTGGTGCCCCTGCCGAGGGTGTCCCCGCGGGGGTCCTCGATGACGGAGAACTCGTTGGAGTCGGACTCCCAGATGTGCTGCGTGCCGTTGTTGTGCTTTGTGGTCACGATCACCTTGTCCGCCACCAGGAACGCAGAGTAGAAGCCCACGCCGAACTGACCAATCAGCTCAGAGGTTGACTGGCCCTCCGTCTGCAGCTCTGTCATCTTGTTGAGGAACTCGCTGGTGCCTGACTTGGCGATGGTGCCCAGGTTCCTGACCAGGTCTTCTTTGGTCATGCCGATGCCCGTGTCAGTGATGTGGAGCATGTTCTTCTCCTTGTCAGACTTTAGGTGAGGAGAAACAAACAGTGAAATGTTATGTTGGGTTTTGGATCACTTGCATTGTACATGACTTTGCATTGTACATGACATAGACTTAGTTTTAAACATTCTACTGTTTTATTACTATTAATCTATGCACATTTAGAATAAAAGAAAAGCAAACCTAGAGTGTGTGTACAGTATGTATTATTCATTTGCATGTACTCATAAAGGGAAAGCGCACAATGTCCTGCCGCAGGTGTTGAAAGTCTTAATGTCATTTTTGCAATGCAAAAACTGAGATGTAAATTTAGAGGTGTTAGAGACCCTAACGACTCTCTCGGTCTCAGGTTTCACTCCAGAGAGTTCAGTGAAGGGTTGCTAATTAGCCTACAGTCGGAGGACTGAAAGGGTGGGTCACACAGAAGGCTAACGCTGAGGTAACTTAACATACCTTGATTTTCACTGTCAGCTCCTCGTTACCAGTGAGTGCCTCATCATTGGTCAGAGACAGCAACCGGATCTTATCCAGGGCATCGGAAGCGTTGGAGATCAGTTCCCTCAGGAAGATCTGAAAACAGACAAAAAGAAACATCACCAAATGCAAAATTGTATAGATTTTAGTATAGATTTGTATTTGTATTAAAACAACTACAATACAAAGACAATACGAATGGCCGGCCCCATCAGTGGGTGCTCTAGTCAGTGGGTGCGCTCGCCCCCACCTACCCCGAGAAGCCGGCAGGGCGAAGCCCCGCCCCTAAATGACATTCTTAACTGTTTCAACCCTTATTCAATTACCTTAAGTTACCTCACTGAACCTCTATCAGGTTTATGTAATGATAGATAGCCAGATGGACTCTTGTTGTGAACTAATTTCTAATTAAACCAATTAAACAAATGAGCGTAAAAAAAACATTTATTGTATTGCCCTATTATTTCTGTAAGTGTCAACGTTCAAAGCTCCATTATCTACACAGATCACCAGAGCAGACACTAACCTCTTTGTTCTTGTACAGGGAGTTGATGATGAGCTTCATCATCCTGTTCACCTCAGCCTTGAAAACATGCTTTTCTGATTTCTCCCGGATTTCCTTTATCTGTGCTGCGTTCAGGCCATCAAGCTGGATAGCCTCCTCTTCCCTGGAAAAACAGAAGTGTAATCAGAGATCAGCACAAACAAGGTACATAGACTCAAGATTTCCCCAAAGGGAATATTTAGAGGCCTTATCTGTGTGACTGGCAATAGGGAAAACCCTTATAATGTTGTTGCTCTCTAATGCTTTGAAAAATGATCAGGTGTACTTCTACAAGATTAATAGGAACGGGTGTCAAGCCAAAGATAAAATAGTATATAAACAAATCTCAATTCAGCCTTTGTGCAAATAAGAGGATGGTACTTGGGTTTTATCTTTGACTGAAAATAGCAAGCCGAAAGGAGAGGAGGTAAAAGTGCTTTCCATGGTTCATGTAAGGTCAGTATAAAGGCTTGTGTTTTGGAAAAGAGGGAGGAAGTAGTGAAGTCGATAATGGGGCGCTCTTGTCACCAGTTGGTCTCAGGACTTACTGCATGACAGAACACTCTTCTTCGCTGAAATAGTTAAACACACTTACCTCTGGACTACCTCGTCATCTGTCCGGGAGCCATCTCTACTTTTGCCCAAGTCCTCCTCCACTGTCCCATCAATGTCAACCTCATCCTCCGCTCTGACAGAACCTGTAGATAAAATTAAATTAAACATTATAGATCTGAGGGTTTAAACAATAAAAACTTGTACCCAGTAACTTAAGCCCAACCGAATAAAAATACAAGTATTTTGTATTAACTTATATTGACCCATGTCATGTGACAGAGCAACCACTGGGCCATAAATGCACTACTGAGGGTCTAAGTTCATCTGGTAGCCAGTCTTCCACTCTATCTGTAAGCATAACAGCCACAATACTACATCTCCTTGACTCAATCCATAGAGGGCATGGCACCTTTCCATCTCAGAACAGACCAATACTGTACTAATAAACTGATAAGCTCCGGAAAAAGTTCCTTCACTGCTGATAAAGATTTGATACCTTTGCTGTTTCCATCTCTATACCCCCATAGCAAACTGATTGTACTGTCCAAAGCAAACAGACTATTGTATGGGTAGTTAGACGTTGATAACTGGTACAAATACAGTATAACTGTGTGGGATTAGGGTGTTTAGAATCCTGCTTCTGTTTGGTCGGTGTGGTTGTGGTTGTGGAAGCAGAGGTGTTACGTATGACATTGCAGTGTCAATATGGAACACATGTTCAGTAAAAATCTGAATAACGTGCTCATAAAGCAAACAACCATAACGTCGAGATATGATGAATGAAAAAAGAGAAGCATTAGGCATATCAATGTTACAGTCTGGCTCCACAGGATTCAGATGAAGAGAAAGTACGAGAAGCTTGCAAGTCAGTCCTATGTCTTCTACAATGTTACCCATTTGACACACTCATCGGTCAACAAAACAATGCACTGCAATCAAAAGATGGCATTTTAGCACATTTACTGCTGCTTATACTGCAATCATAAGAAAACATAATGAAATGGCAAGTTGCAGCAAAGAAGTTGAAATTCTATTCTATTATGCAATTTATAACTCATACTTACTGAAAGCTAGAAGAGCCCAAAGGAGGACTACAATCCACATTCGCTTCATTTTAATAGAAAAAAGATATCACTATACTGTACTGTATTCCTACACCCCGGCAAAATGCTTGAAACTGTATGCGTCCAGGGTTGGAGAGTACTGTATCTGATCCCCCCTTTGGAGGCGGTGTATTGATGAAGTGGACCTATAGCTGCCCCCCACGCACAACAATAACCAATGGCAGAAGCTTTCGTCGCTTCAATCTTCCAATCGTAGTATTACGTGTCAGATTGTACAAGTTCAAAGCGTGGCTAGTTTCCATTGGCCGAATTACACGTTAAACAAGGATTTAGTTATCATATAAAGCGATAAGATCATGTCTGATACATTGCAACACGTCATTTAAAATAGATACATTCGTCAGCACTGTTGAAACATTGTTTTTGATATCGTTACAGTGTAACAATTTATGATAGGCTCATCTGGAAGCCCATACGTTCACCTTGACTGCCACTGTTGCTAGGGCTTATCAGGCACAACTTCTCAGCGAAGTACCAGGCATGCATTGGCATCGAGGCTGTAGCTGTACTAAAACGATCAAGCCCCTCAGACTACCTACAAATATGCTTTTAGTTTGCCAACTCTACAGATAGCCATTGAGGTTTTATTTGTAACTTGATCCATTTTAATCGGGATCACGCACACAGCCTTGTGATCTGGCAATCCTCTCTGGGACAAACTCTTGGCCACTACTAGTACAGGTATCAAAACTTTTATGGAATTTTGTTTGTCAACTATTGTCCATTCACACGTTGTGGCATACTTTGTGTGTGTGTGCATCTCTGCTTTGATTTATGAAATTAGTCTATTTGGAATATCTACTAATCTATTTCAAATGCCAGCATTCACTTGTTTGTGCGATTGTCACAGGTTGTAGACCTCAACACAACATATTTGGTGTGGAATAGACCCTCCCCTTTCTGGAATAGACCCTCCCCTTTCTTTTTCATGTGATCAGAGTTTTTCGCCTTCCTCACATTGAAACCATGCCGGCGTCTCAGTTGCAGACACTACCCACCAACCTCTCCCCTGCTAACAACATTCAGCTGCTCGTCTACATTAAATTCAACTAATTCTCCCTCATCTTCAGTCTCACAATGATTGACAGTTCCAACTGCAACTGCACCTCTGGAATCCCTGATTCCCCTGACTGGCACCATGATCACTGGAGTGGTCCTAGCTCTCTGCTATCTTCTGGGCATAACATAGCAGTGAACGCAGATACAACGTGAGTATGAAACTGTTCTTGAGCCTGGCGTGTCAGATATGCTGAGCCTGCTAATATGCGTGCCCCTATTGGTCTATGGAATACTTCAGCTGGGACTTGGGCAACAGTCTCTGCAAGCTCTTTGTCTTCGTTGCCTACTGCTGTACATTCTCCAGCCTGCTGATCATCCTGTTGATGAGTGTCCAGCGCTACTACCAAGTTCTGCACCCTAGTGCTGGGCCAGGTGGCGTGGGGCAGTGGGTTGTTTCCCCACACTGTGGGGTGTTGTGGTTGTAATATCTTCACCGTTCCTGACAGTCAACATGGTGGAGGGGGAGGACGGGCATCTCCATTGTGTTAACAACTATTATAATAAACAAAAGTATAGCCCCGGGGTGGGAGGTTTGGTGATGGCGATATTTGGATTAGTATTACCTGTATCCCTCCTACTAACATCCTACATCCGCCTCCATAAGAGAGTGAAACATTCAGCTTTCTTCCGAAAGTCCAGGATGACCAGACTTGTGACCAGCATCATTGTGACTTTCATCATCGGTTCGATGCCATTCCAAGTTGTTATCATCCTAAACATGTCAGGACATTTGGCCAAGTAGGAAAACTTCAAACACCATGTTGTATTTTGTTGTATTTCTGACCTATGCCAACAGTTGCCTGAATCCGTTTCTATGTCTTCGCTTCCCATAACTTCTGCCAGAAGACTGGCCAGTCAGAAGACACCGCGAGGCAGCTTGAAATGGGTCCTGTCAACAGTCAACTGAACATGTAACATATCTGACACACACTCGAAGTGTTCATTTATGTTACAGGTTAGGCCTACATCAAGCTAGATGTTTTCATGTATTGAGCTTTATTAGGTGTGAGTTAATCTTAATGTATTTTTTTTTTTACAGTAGAACAGGAAGCTTTTATGAATTTATAGGAATTTTTGGATAGTTTTGTATTCTGCCGTAATGAAGTACTTCTCTGTATCTTTATGTAACCCTCTAATCACTCAAGCCTAATTTGGTACCAGAAAATCTACATATAAAAATCTAGATAACATTATCTCCTTTGTTTGAGTTCTCTATTTGTTTTCACTTCTGTTACCAATACTCTTCTCACAAAACATTTAAGTGTCTCCTGTGATGAAAGTGAGACCTGCCTGACCAGGTTCCACGTCCATGTTCTACTTCCTGTCTGGTGATGCACTTCCCCTCATGCGCCGTCTACCACAGCTCAGTCTATAGGCCTAGGTTACAGTAAATGTTGGGAAGTCAAAATGTTCCCCTCTAGTTCTGTAGATCTCCAGTCACTGAGCAGTTTTATGTGGGGAAAATGCACTGTTCCCTGCATGTCATGGATTTGCAGTGCATACTTACACCAAGAATACCATGTACTTGCCAAATACTGTAGCTAGATATCTAGTTGATGATAATTCCTGATATGCCTGTGTTTCATTATTTTGTTCAGACAGGCACAGCAGGTCACAGCTACAACGGCCTGAGATGGACCCACAGGGGGGAGGAGGCCGGGGAGGGTCGTACTCCACCACCCCTCCTGTCACTGCTCCTCTCCAGCCCGTGCTGTGTTCCGTACCTGGAGACCTCGCTGAAGAGTGGCACTACCTGAGCAGGCCAGAGGCACCTGCTTCAGACCATTGGACACCCAGTGGGGTGACAGGGAGAGCCATCGTCCCTCTGACCTCCCTGACAATAGTAACCTCCTCTCCTCCCAGCAGTTGAAGATCAGTCTAGACCTCATCACCCGCTCCTCCTCCTTCCTCTGCCTCCTGGGCCACCGATACGGCCCCTCCAGGCCGGAGCAGGACCCCCCACCTCTCCCAGCTGCTGGTCCAGAACGAGAAGCTCTCTCTGGGGTGGAGAGGAACCTGCATGTTGCAGCGGAGGGAGGCTACCCCTGGGTCCTCACAGGGAGGAACCAGAAGTGCTCCCTGACAGAGCTGCAGATCACCCAGGCAGCCCTGATGGGTGACACCAGACACTGCTTCTTCTACTTCAGAGACTACTCTGAAGTAGAGGAGGATGAAGACAGGTACACAAATGAAGGTCAAAGGTCATTGCTGAGTGTGTTCTCCAAACAGACAGAAGAGGAGAGACACAGAGCCAGGGAGCTGAAGAACAGGATAGTGGACAGCCTGCAACCTGTAAGGTTCTTCAGAACGCTGCAGGATCTGGGGGACCTGGTGAAGAGGGACTGGAGGGTTCTCATGGAACAGCTCTATGGGACCCTGGACCAGCAGCCAACCTGTTCAGGTAAGTGAACCTGTGCAGCTCAGTTAGTTCTGTTAGTTGACCTAGTTCTGTTTACATCTGCTTTGTTTAATTCAATTTAGTTCAACCTGCTTTGAAAAGACGGTGAAGATGACTAACGTAGCTCAGTCCGGTTCATATTTATTGTGTTTTTCAGTGGTCTGCCATATCTTCCAAGTCCTAAAGCAGTGCTTTCTCCCCTGCTCTTTAGGCCTCCTGGACTCCCTAGATAGATGTTATCATGAAGGTGCTGTCCAGGCTCTGTGTCGCTCGTTTGCCCCCTCCACCCAGACCACTGCTGTCATGGAGGCACTTAACACATTTACTGCCTCGCTCACTCATTCTGACACATCTCATAGTCTAGCAACCTCAAGGAATTCAACCATTAAGTTAACAGGGTAAGAACTTTGGTGACCACGCTAAGCTGGAAACTGAATCAGTGCTGAATTACTGTGAGATTTGCCATACTTAAAAGTAGATACAGATGGAGTTATGCATTGATAGTGTTCAGATATTATTTGAAATCAATGAACAACATATTTTGACTGTCCTTCCTATTTCCCTTTGCCCTCAGTGACCATGACAAACGTGATTCAGAGGGGTCTATTTTCCTGCTCTGTGGTGAGAGCGGTTGTGGGAAGTCCTCACTGGCCACCTGGTGGCTTCAGGAGTTCCGGAAGAAGAACCCTAGAATCCCAGCCATCCCTCACTTCTGTGGAATCAGCAGCTCCAGTGTGGATATCAGATCTGTACTGAGACACATCACCACTGAGCTACGCCTGGCCCATTACGGTAAACACTCTGGAGTGTTATTGCCTATGTCTGTGAGGGATAGAAACTACTACAATAACATCAACCTATTCACTTCTTTGTCATCTAACCCATCACTTCCAAATGTAACCCGTTATAGCACTGTTGTATACTTACATTCCCAATTTGACATTTATTCAGAAATGTGTTTACACTCACTTACCTTTCCTGTGACTATAACCTTTACTGCTAGATAAGATGTACTTCATTACTGACTTTAAAAAATATATGTATTTACTTTGTGAGAAACCAATCACTGTTCTCAAGAAAGAAACAAGGTCAACATTGTCATAACACTCATCTGGTCTAGACCGGTGAGACAGACTGATGGTTCTCTCTCATCTCACTCGTCTAAGTAACTAGTGTGGTATTGTTTATTTTTTAAATACTTTTTATTTATTCAGGGGAACCTAATTGAAACCAGGGTCTCATTATCAATGGTGCCCTGAGAACAAACAATTCACAAATCAACATGATAATACAAGAAAACAGCAAAAAATAAACTACAAGATATACAGTGCCTTGCAAAACTATTCATCCCCCTTGGTGTTTTTCCTATTTTGTTGCATTACAACCTGTAATATAAATTGATTTTTATTTGGATTTCATGTAATGGACATACACAACATAGTCCAAATTGGTGAAGTGAAATGAAAAAAATAACTTGTTTCAGTAAAAGTGGTGCGTGCATATGTATTCACCCCCTTTGCTATGAAGCCCCTAAATAAGATCTGGTGAAACCAATTACCTTCAGAAGTCTCATAATTAGTTAAATAAAGTCCACCTGTGTCCAATCTAAGTGTCACATGATCTGTCACATGATCTCAGTATATACAGTGAGGGAAAAAAGTATTTGATCCCCTGCTGATTTTGTACATTTGCCCACTGACAAAGACATGATCAGTCTATAATTTTTATGGTACGTTTATTTGAACAGTGAGAGACAGAATAACAACCAAAAAATCCAGAAAAACGCATGTCAAAAATGTTATAAATTGATTTGCATTTTAATGAGGGAAATAAGTATTTGACCCCTCTGCAAAACATGACTTAGTACTTGGTGGCAAAACCCTTGTTGGCAATCACAGAGGTCAGACGTTTCTTGTAGTTGGCCACCAGGTTTGCACACATCTCAGGAGGGGTTTTGTCCCACTCCTCTTTGCAGATCTTCTCCAAGTCATTAAGGTTTCGAGGCTGACGTTTGGCAACTCGGACCTTCAGCTCCCTCCACACATTTTCTATGGGATTAAGGTCTGGAGACTGGCTAGGCCACTCCAGGACCTTAATGTGCTTCTTCTTGAGCCACTCCTTTGTTGCCTTGGCCATGTGTTTTGGGTCATTGTCATGCTGGAATACCACATCCACGACCCATTTTCAATGCCCTGGCTGAGGGAAGGAGGTTCTCACCCAAGATTTGACGGTACATGGCCCCGTCCATCGTCCCTTTGATGCGGTGAAGTTGTCCTGTCCCCTTAGCAGAAAAACACCCCCAAAGCATAATGTTTCCACCTCCATGTTTGAAGGTGGGGATGGTGTTCTTGGGGTCATAGGCAGCATTCCTCCTCCTCCAAACACGGCGAGTTGAGTTGATGCCAAAGAGCTCGATTTTGGTCTCATCTGACCACAACACTTTCACCCAGTTCTCCTCTGAATCATTCAGATTTTCATTGGCAAACTTCAGACGGTCCTGTATATGTGCTTTCTTGAGCAGGGGGACCTTGCGGGCGCAGTGTGTTACCAATTGTTTTCTTGGTGACTATGGTCCCAGCTTCCTTGAGATCATTGACAAGGTCCTCCCGTGTAGTTCTGGGCTGATTCCTCACCGTTCTCATGATAATTGCAACTCGACGAGGTGAGATCTTGCATGGAGCCCCAGGCAGAGGGAGATTGACAGTTCTTTTGTGTTTCTTCCATTAGCGAATAATCACACCAACTGTTGTCACCTTCTCACCAAGCTGCTTGGTGATGGTCTTGTAGCCCATTCCAGCCTTGTGTAGGTCTACAATCTTGTCCCTGACATCCTTGGAGAGCTCTTTGGTCTTGGCCATGGTGGATAGTTTGGAATCTGATTGATTGATTGCTTCTGTGGACAGGTGTCTTTTATACAGGTAACAAGCTGAGATTAGGAGCACTCCCTTTAAGAGTGTGCTCCTAATCTCAGCTCGTTACCTGTATAAAAGACACCTGGGAGCCAGAAATCTTTCGGATTGAGAGGGGGTCAAACACTTATTTCCCTCATTAAATGCAAATCAATTTATAATATTTTTGACATGCGTTTTTCTGGATTTTGTTGTTGTTATTCTGTCTCTCACTGTTCAAATAAACCTACCATTAAAATTATAGACTGATCATGTCTTTGTCAGTGGGCAAACATACAAAATCAGCAGGGGATCAAATACTTTTTTCCCTCACTGTATACACCTGTTCTGAAAGGCCCCAGAGTCTGCAACACCACTAAGCAAGGGGCACCACCAAGCAAGCGGCACCATGAAGACCAAGGAGCTCTCCAAACAGGTCAGGGACAAAGTTGTGTAGAAGTACAGATCAGGGTTGGGTTATAAAAAAATATCAGAAGCTTTGAACATTCCACGGAGCACCATTAAATCCATTATTAAAAAATGGAAAGAATATGGCACCACAACAAACCTGCCAAGAGAGGGCCGCCCACCAAAACTCACGGACCAGGCAAGGAGGGCATTAATCAGAGAGGCAACAAAGAGACCAAAGATAACCCTGAAGGAGCTGCAAAGCTCCACAGCGGAGATTGGAGTATCTGTCCATAGGACCACTTTAAGCCGTACACTCCACAGAGCTGGGCTTTACGGAAGAGTGGCCAGAAGAAAGCCATTGCTTAAATTAAAAAATAAGCTTTTGGTGTTCGCTAAAAGCCATGTGGGAGACTCCCCAAACATATGGAAGAAGGTACTCTGGTCAGATGAGACTAAAATTGAGCTTTTTGGCCATCAAGGAAAACGCGATGTCTGGCGCAAACCCAACACCTCTCATCACCCCGAGAACACCATCCCCACAGTGAAGCATGATGGTGGCAGCATCATGCTGTGGGGATGTTTTTCATCGGCAGTGACTGGGAAACTGGTCAGAATTGAAGGGATGATGGATGGCGCAAAATACAGGGAAATTCTTGAGGGAAACCTGTTTCAGTCTTCCAGAGATTTGAGACTGGGACGGAGGTTCACCTTCCAGCAGGACAATGACCCTAAGCATACTGCTAAAGCAACACTCGAGTGGTTTAAGGGGAAACATTTAAATGTCTTGGAATGGCCTAGTCAAAGCCCAGACCTCAATCCAATTGAGAATCTGTGGTATGACTTAAAGATTGCTGTACACCAGCGGAACCCATCCAACTTGAAGGAGCTGGAGCAGTTTTGCCTTGAAGAATGGGCAAAACATCCCAGTGGCTAGATGTGCCAAGCTTATAGAGACATACTCCAAGAGACTTGCAGCTGTAATTGCTGCAAAAGGTGGCTCTACAAAGTATTGACTTTGTGGGGGTGAATAGTTATGCACGCTCAAGTTTTCTGTTTTTTTGTCTTATTTCTTGTTTGTTTCACAATAAAAAATATTTTGCATCTTCAAAGTGGTAGGGATGTTGTGTAAATCAAATGATACAACCCCCCCAAAAATTGATTTTAATTCCAGGTTGTAAGGCAACAAAATAGGAAAAATGCAAAGGGGGGTGAATACTTTCGCAAGCCACTGTACCAACCATGTCATACATGTAGATGCATTGTTGTTCAGTGACACACATGGCCATGGCATAAACAGACAGCCATAGACAAAGAGGCTAATAGTGCTTTTAGTATTTATTTTTAGTGCAGCACAGAAGGAAAACTTTAAATGAAAATTCCACAAAAAAACTATATTTTGGTATTTGTTTCATTAGTCCACGCATCATACTATGACACTTTCTATATTTTGAAAGTTCTATATCTTGAAAACTTGATTGCTGACATGCAAAACATTTTGGGACTGTATCAACAGTGGGCTAATGAAACAATTACGTCTTTGAGTGGTATTTTCCTTTGTCGTTGTTAAGGCTCCACATTGTTATTGTGTCTCTATACTAGGACCCCAGGCTGAGTGGAGTGAAGGGTTGTTATTGTGTCTCTATACTAGGCCCCCAGGCTGAGTGGAGTGAAGGGTTGTTATTGTGTCTCTATACTAGGACCCCAGGCTGAGTGGAGGGAAGGGTTGTTATTGTGTCTCTATACTAGGCCCCCAGGCTGAGTGGAGTGAAGGGTTGTTATTGTGTCTCTATACTAGGACCCCAGGCTGAGTGGAGTGAAGGGTTGTTATTGTGTCTCTATACTAGGACCCCAGGCTGAGTGGAGTGAAGGGTTGTTATTGTGTCTCTATACTAGGACCCCAGGCTGAGTGGAGTGAAGGGTTGTTATTGTGTCTCTATACTAGGCCCCCAGGCTGAGTGGAGTGAAGGGTTGTTATTGTGTCTCTGTACTAGGTCCCCAGGCTGAGTGGAGTGAAGGGTTGTTATTGTGTCTCTATACTAGGACCCCAGGCTGAGTGGAGTGAAGGGTTGTTATTGTGTCTCTATACTAGGACCCCAGGCTGAGTGGAGTGAAGGGTTGTTATTGTGTCTCTATACTAGGACCCCAGGCTGAGTGGAGGGAAGGGTTGTTATTGTGTCTCTATACTAGGCCCCCAGGCTGAGTGGAGTGAAGGGTTGTTATTGTGTCTCTATACTAGGACCCCAGGCTGAGTGGAGGGAAGGGTTGTTATTGTGTCTCTATACTAGGCCCCCAGGCTGAGTGGAGTGAAGGGTTGTTATTGTGTCTCTATACTAGGCCCCCAGGCTGAGTGGAGTGAAGGGTTGTTATTGTGTCTCTGTACTAGGTCCCCAGGCTGAGTGGAGTGAAGGGTTGCAGCATCATGTAAAGCCCAGGTCATTCCATGTTGTGGTTCAGGCCTTCTCTGCTGCGGCTGCTCTAGGACCCTGTGTTCTGGTTCTGGATGGACTGGACAGACTGACCGGGTCCCTCGGGCTCTCAATGCAGGAGGTAATGCCTTACTTTGCCCAGACCACTACCAGTGGTGGTTCTTGTACAGTGTATTTTACATTGATAGCATTCAAAGAAATCCAGATGAAAACCAAAGCATATTATTTTATATAGTGAACATGAATTAATAACGTTTATTAATTCATTGTCAGGTGAAGGACCTACGCTGGCTCCCTGACCTTTTGCCTCCCCAGTGTAAGCTCCTCATCACAGCGACCTCCACAGACCTCACCTACCAGAGGCTGACCCTCCGCAAAGACGTTCACACCCTCCCCTTGCCCGGCCTGTCAGACCCCTGGGTCCGCCGCAGCGTCCTACTCCAACACCTTACCCTGCCCTGCCTGGAGCCACACAGGACCCTGCTGCAATTCATCTTGGGGACCACTACCAAGCTGGGAATGGGTCGCCTGCCGCTGTTCCTGGCGGTGGTGGCTAGCGAACTGCAGACGTGCTGTGTCCTGAGGGGAAAGGAGGAGGAGGAGGAGTTGATAGAGGAGTATGTAGAGGTGGATTCTATGGCAGAGCTGTGGGCCAGGGTGATTCAGCGCTGGATCAATGACTATGGTGGGGTCAATGAGTGTACGGCCAGTCCAGCCAAAGGGACAGGAGGACCTACCTCTCAGGTGTCCAAGATAGGTGGGATCATCTTTACCCTCTCTAATGATTCAGTTGTGATAGAAAAATTGCCGTACAGCAAGAATCGCCACTGTAATGTCTTCTCAATAAAGGTCAAGAATTAACATTATTAGTTAGGCACTCTCTATGATGAGTTGTTGTATCTAACCTTACTCCCTCCTTCTCTCCAGATCTCAGAGGCTGGGTATGGGACACTCTATGCCTGGTTCACCTCTCCCATGCTGGGCTGACTGAGGAGCAGGTCCTGGTTCTGCTGGAGGTTCTTGGTTACCCTGGGTCTATACGGGTTCTACCTCTGGAGTGGGCCCGGTTCCGCACTGCTGCTGGGCCCTGGGTACAGGAGAGACCCAATGGAACACTGAGCCTCACCCACCAATCACTGGGCCAAGCCATGGACCTCCTCCTGCTGAGTGAGTGGCAGACGGGAGCAGAAGTTACAAGCATAGAAATAGAAAGCATAGAATGGACATTCTACAATGGCCTTCATTTGTTGGTCCTTCCAACATGGTGGTGCTTTTTACTTGGTTGATCATCTTTGTCTAACAATGAACGTGGAGTATCTGCATGTAAGTGGAACTCTTTGGCACTAAGGAGTCCAACTATGACCAATCATTTACACTTCTCCTAAGTCTTATGCTTTTTGCTCTGTAGGGGTCCGGCCCGGTAAAGGTCCAGGGGGCTTGAGGAAGACCAGACGGGGCTACCATCTCAGCCTGGCCCAGTTCTTCCAGAGGCAGGGCAGGGAGATCTGTAGCTGGCCTCAGATCCTGGAGGAGCTCCCCTGGCACCTGGAGCAGAGTGAGGCCTGGAGGGAGCTACACACCTTCTTCATAGATCCACAGTAAATAATAATATGCCATTTAGCAGACGCTTTTATCCAAAGCGACTTACAGTCATGTGCGCATACATTTTTACGTATGGGTGGTCCCGGGGATCGAACCCACTACCCTGGCGTTACAAGCGCCGTGCTCTACCAGCTGAGCTACAGAGGACCACAGTAAGAGCATGGATATACACCTCACCCATAAGGACACTAGGGGTACACACAGTTACTGTTGGGTAAAATAGTTTAGCTGCAGATTAACTGTCATCATATATTTAACTTAACACTTAAAAACTGTGTGAGCCTTTTTATTGGATTACAGATTCACATGTTTATCCATCATTTATTTACATAAAGGTATCTACATACTCTCTATCCCTAGGACTGTAGAGCACCTGTCTACAAGTTGGAGCCAGTCTTCTCAGCTGAGAATAGATGTTGTCAGGTACTGGACTCTCCTGATCCTCAGAGGTTATGACCCCTACACCTCATACCGGAGCCTGCTTGGTAAGGGATGCCACCCTCCTACTCTTAACCAATCAGGGCGATGGGCATTCCCTCCTGCTACACATACAGGTAAAATCGTCATGGCTACACATTTCAACACGAATTCAGTGGTGATCAGTTCTAACGTCATAAAATTGTAGATATACCATCCATAAATAATGTAGCTATTGTCTCCATTCAATCCAGAGCAGAGAGAGGTACACAGCAACAGGGCCTTCATGACTGAGTCCCAAAGTGACGGCAACGGTAATTATTCATCACTGATAACAAATTTATTATTGATGATGTCTAAGTGATCTGTTACCAGTCATCATCACTGATCCTATGTGACCAGTGATGATGACTGTTTTTGTTGTTTGTTCCCCACCTGTAGGAAATGGTTGTCAGTGGGATCCAGGTGTGAAAGGGAAGCAGTTGTTGGTCTCTGAGTTGCTGCTCTGTCTGAACAGGAAGGGGGAAGCAGAACAGCTCCTACTGCAGGCTGAGAACACACTCACACAGGTGAAGTAGACCCACCACTCACTCGTAAAGGGAAACCACTCAAAATGGATATTTTTGTATTTTATTTTCATTAGTCCACTGTTGATACCGGCTACATCATCATGATAATGCAAAATATATTGAAAACGTAACTGCTGACATGCAAAACATTTGAGACTGTATCAACAGTGGACTAATTTAAAAAATACCAAAATATTGTTTTTGAGTGGATTTTCCCTTTAAATACTAGCCACTATGCTTTACATGAACACTGTAATTGCTCTAGTAATACCATTTTATGTTCTTAATGTATAGACTTTCACTCCATTATGAAAGGCTTTCATTCAGCCTGCTGAAATGATCGCACTGCTTCCCAATTTCCTGTCATTTCAGGCTGGTGAGAAGGACAGAGACAGGGAGAGTGTGATGTTACTGCTTACAGTGCGGCAGACTTTGGCTGAGCTCTATGTGGAGATGGACCAGCACAGAGAGGCAGAGACACACTGTAGATCAGCTCTGGAGAGCGCCCAGACTCTGACCACTACCTGCCTTGAGAGATATGAGGGAATCACTGTTAGAAAGGGTATTTGTCCAGAGAGTTGGGGCACTATGGGTCTCAGGTTTTTAAATAAGCAACCCGATGATATATATTTTAATTCAAAAAGTAATATTTTAATTCACAAAGTAAGTAAATGCTTTTAGTGGGCTGAAATGATATGTATTTCATGTATCGCCCCTATCAGGTAAGTTGCTTTGTGTACTCTGCCAGCTGCTGTTTGCAGACGGCCGAACCATCGAGGCCTCTCAGATCCTCAGTGACATCATCAATATGGGACACCACAAACTCCACCTGTGTGCTGAGGCCACTGTATCACTGCTCTGTGGTATACACAGGTGTGTATTAAATAGCATAAATAGGTACAGTCTCATGTGACATATCTATACTTCACATGTTCAGCTACAGGTGTATGTTTGTATGTCTTTTGCTGTTTTTAGACCTAATTCCCATGTGAATTACTTTTGATACTGTATGACTCAATTTAGGCAAGCTTAGATTGTATTTTTTTATGTGACAGACTAATAAGCCTGCAAGACCCACATGGTGCTGAGAAGCACCTCCAGGTTGCCTTGAAGATCAGGAGGCGCTGGTATGGTAGAGAGCACCCTCTAGTGGTGGAGGTGGAGGAGTGCCTTGCAGACGTCTGGGCCGACACCTGCGCTCACACAGCAGGGTAGGACTACTTCTCCTCTTCTAGTGTTCTTCTGGTTCTTCTTCTCCTTTTCTAGTGTTCTTCTGGTTCTTCTTCTCCTCTTCTAGTGTTCTTCTTCTTCTCTTCTAGTGTTCTTCTGATTATTCTTCCCCTCTTCTAGTGTTCTTCTGGTTCTTCTTCTCCTCTTCTAGTGTTCTTCTGGTTCTTCTTCTCCTCTTCTAGTGTTCTTCTGGTTCTTCTTCTCCTCTTCTAGTGTTCTTCTGGTTCCTCTTCTCCTCTTCTAGTGTTTTTCTGGTTCTTCTTCTCCACTTCTAGTGTTCTTCTGGTTCTTCTTCTCCTCTTCTAGTGTTCTTCTGGTTCTTCTTCCCCTCTTCTAGTGTTCTTCTGGTTCTTCTTCTCCTCTTCTAGTGTTCTTCTGGTTCTTCTCCTTTTCTAGTGTTTTTCTGGTTCTTCTTCTCCACTTCTAGTGTTCTTCTTCTCCTCTTCTAGTGTTCTTCTGGTTCTTCTTCCCCTCTTCTAGTGTTCTTCTGGTTCTTCTTCTCCTCTTCTAGTGTTCTTCTGGTTCTTCTTCCCCTCTTCTAGTGTTCTTCTGGTTCCTCTTCTCCTCTTCTAGTGTTCTTCTGGTTCTTCTTCTACTCTTCTAGTGTTCTTCTGGTTCTTCTTCTCCTTTTCTAGTGTTTTTCTGGTTCTTCTCCACTTCTAGTGTCCTTCTGGTTCTTCTTCTACTCTTCTAGTGTTCTTCTGGTTCTTCTTCTCCTCTTCTAGTGTTCTTCTGGTTCTTCTTCTAGTGTTCTTCTGGTTCTTCTTCTCCTCTTCTAGTGTTCTTCTGGTTCTTCTTCTACTCTTCTAGTGTTCTTCTGGTTCTTCTTCTACTCTTCTAGTGTTCTTCTGGTTCTTCTACTCTTCTAGTGTTCTTCTGGTTCTTCACCTCTTCTGGTGTTCTTCTGGTTCTTCTTCTCCTCTTATAGTGTTCTTCTGGTTCTTCTTCTCTTCTTCGTCATTAATTGTGTCCTCCATCGTCTCCTCAGTAGTTTCTTCTCCGTCATTGTTCTCTCTCTTCTCTCTCTCTCTCTCTTCCTCCTCCCATCCCCTTCTCAGTAGTTTACTCAGTCAGTCACAGTATATAAATGTTAGTGTGGTGAAGATGTGACGTGTTCAGGTTGAGGCAGAGGCTGGCAGTGGAGCTGTATCGACACACGGTGCACGTCAAAGATCAGGACATGAAGCTTTGTTCCCCCACATCGCCACGTCTTCAGGCGAAGGGATGCAGCCTCGCAGTCACCTTGGTCAAACTTGGTAATTATTTCATTTTTCAAACAGAAGCACCACAACTCTCAATCTTTCTTACACTTTTCTAGATTCTTAGCAATAATACACAGAGTGCAATATGTTTAGCTTGTATGTGTATGTGTGTGTGTGTGTGTGTGTCATGGCAGGAAGGCAGATATTTCATGGCTCCAGTAAGACAGAGAGTAGAGAGGCTGTTGAACTGCTGCAGAGAGCTCTGGACCTGTACATCTGCTTCCTGGGGTCTGATCACACACTGACCAGAGACTTACAACAGTAAAAGCCTTCTTTAGCTCCTACACAATTTAAAATGCTAACATTTTCTTCTTGCATTTTCATAGGGTTTAAGAGAGAGTAAAGCAATTACGGGTCATTGGACCTAATGGAGTTGACCTTTGTCCTCTTAGGATTTTAAACACAGAATCCAGGAGACCTTTGACCCCTCGGGTACCCAGGTCCGGACCCCTCTCCCACCTCTCCACTAGGAGGCTAAGCAGTGGGACCAGACCCAACACAGCCGCACCCCTTCACTCCCACCTGGCCTGGGACAGGGGCGTCACATACACCCCTCTGGACCCCTCCGTAAACAGATCCCTGTCAGCCCCGTCCAACAAGACCCTTCACACACAGCCAGAACCAGATCCAGAACAGGAACCAGTCAAGAACCAAAACCACAGACAGAACCACCTGTCTTCTCCCAGGCCCTGGTCTGCCTTCCAGACCACAGTGTTCGGGCCAAAGAGTGACATCAGAAACCTGATCTCAGAACTCAAACCCAGACCTGCTTCAGCACCGGGCTTCCGTTCCATAGACAGGACCCGGGTGCTGCATAGGGCAGGCTGGTGCCACCTACCAGGCAGGTACCTTCTTGAGGAACGGACAGTAACAGCTTTAAACAGAGAGATTGGATCCCCTTTGCACACACAGAGATGCACACCACTGGTCAGACAGACAGTTCAGGGACAGGCAAAGGGAGGAGAACAGAGCTCGAGAGACAGAGTGTCTTATTCTGCCAGGAGGCGCTAGAGAGAAGAGAAAGATCTAGAGAAGACTGCTCTCATGGTGACCACTGAACTGTTTTGAGTGTTTATGCTATTCTTTTACCACTTTTGATACCAATCAGCTGTTTTCTTTTCAATACTGAAATCTGTCACAATAAATGTTTTCCATATAAATTGAAATAAAATGTTTGCTTGTTTAACTGGAGTGAAATGGCCCCTATTTTGTACAGAAGCAAATATAATTTGACTTCACTTCATGTCGTCAAATGAATCATACATTTTTTGTTTTCTATAGGGTTGCATCTAAATATTGATCAAATGTATGTTTTGTAAGATGGTTAAGCTCCTCATCCTGGTGTGAAATAACATTGACCTTTTCTCTCAGAAAGCAATACTTCTAGTACCCAAAAGTGGGTGATGTAATCAACAGTAAATGTATATCTGTCAATTCTCCACACACAACGAAAAGCATTCAGTGAAAGCATTCATTGAGCAACATGTTACAGATGCTGTGAAGTAGGACCAAGCAGGTTTGGACTTTACCATGTGGTGTATTGTAGAGTTAGGGTCATGAGTTCTGAGGTCTGTTTGTATGTTAGAGAAGGGGGATCAATGAGCCAATTGGAAGCTGGGATGATTAGGTGGCCATGGTGGTATGAGGGCCAGATTGGGAATTTAGCCAGGACACCGGGGTTAATACCCCTACTCTTACAATAAGTGCCATTGGATCTTTGTTGACCACAGAGAGTCAGGACACCCGTTTAACGTCCCATCCGAAAGACAGCTCCCTACACAGTGCAATGTCCCCAATCACTGACCTGGGATATTTTTTGTTTTGTTTGTTTTTTGAGGAAAGAGCACCTCCTACTGGTCCTCCAACACCACTTCCATCTGGTCTCCAGGACCAACCCTGCTCAGCTTCAGCGGCAAGCCAGTAGTGGGATGCAGGGTGATATGCTGCTGAGTGCACGCATGGAGCACATGTAATAGTAGTATTTTGTCCAAAAACGTTATATTTTGGCAAGGATAAGTGATTTGGAAACTTCAGAATCTGCTCTTTCTGATACTATATAGACATCAAAATGTTTTACGTGCTTGTGACTGTAGGAGAATTTGCAAAAGTCACTTTTTGGCACTCTGTTAAGCTGTTCATCAGATTCTTCATTTACAATATATTCTCACCCATCAGACTATTGTCAATTACATTTTTTATTTAGGCTAACTCTATTACTATATATGTGAAATTAGTTTCGATATAGTTTAGGTGTAGTTTCGATGGGCCATCATCAGCTGCACAGGCCTAACGGGCAGGGGGGGAGGGGAGGGGGGGGGGGGGGGGGGGGGGGAATGACATGTCCTCTTAAAACTGCTTATAACACATTCTGTTTGTGATATTAAAATTCTAACAAAGATAGTGTGTTAGACTTATTTAGGAAAAGTCAAGGAAGGGGGAGACATTACTTTAAAAATTTCAGAGTACTTATAAAAGTACATTCGTTTTGAGTCAATATGACACTCTCTGCTCTACTAGTGTTAAATGGTTACATTCGTGGCTGCCTAGTGTAGCCTAACCTAGCCTTGCCTAGCATACTATCTCCTGGTCCTATTGTGATTATTGTTGTTATATCAGGACATTATGTTTGAGTCTCAGTCTATTAACTATAGGCTTATGGTTTATTATGTGTAGGTCTATGTGAGTCACATGTTGAATCAACGAGTCATGGGTTTACGTAGGCCTACAAGACTATTTGGTCTGTAATATGAAATCACATGTTAAATAGTTTGTTGTGTGCAATCGATTACAGTAGGGTACAGGGTAGGCTTTTATGATAACTTGATGATTTGGGTGCGCAAATTTTGGCCAACCTAAATTATTGCTGGCCCTGCCATCAACGGATTTCTGCCTACGCCACTGATTCCTGAATGATTCCATGAATAACAATTTAGAAAGAACAGAACCTTATCTGTTGAATGAACAGAGCCCTAGCTGTTGAAAGAACAGAACCCTAGCTGTTGAAAGAACAGAACCCTAGCTGTTGAAAGAACAGAACCCTAGCTGTTGAAAGAACAGAACCCTAGCTGTTGAAAGAACAGAACCCTAGCTGTTGAAAGAACAGAACCCTAGCTGTTGAAAGAACAGAGCCCTAGCTGTTGAAAGAACAGAACCCTAGCTGTTGAAAGAACAGATGATAATGCCCTCTTCTACCTTCATTTACAAACGTGCATACAATGCAAAGACATGGAAAATCAAATAGGTATACTATTCTATAAATGCAATCTATACATTTGATGCCCTGTGGTTATGAAAATAATTTGCATTTCAATGGGAAAGTCAGTCTATCTATGCTTGCCCCATGGGCAGAGCTCCAAAGCAGGAGCTCTGCCCAGGAGCTCTACAGGTAAATGCCAAAATAAAGGAAACACTTTATTTTGAGGGATACAAAGTATATTGAAATATTGGTTCCTGAGTTAATTAAGCAATTAACATCCCATCATGCTTAGGGTCATGTATAAAAATGTTGGGCAGGGCATTCTTTTGGCTATCATGGCTATGCCCACATTGAATGACAATGCCCCCATCCACAGGGCCCAAGTGGTCACTATAGTGATTCTTCCAATAGAATCCTATAACATTCTCAAAATCCTATAGGATTTTGTGTCACCTCTATCAGAATCCTATTGGACTACTTTTTCCGGTGAAGAAGCAGGATGTGGAGGTCCTGGGCTGGCGTGGTTACACGTGGTCTGCGGTTGTGAGGCCAGTTGGACGTACTGCCAAATTCTCTAAAACGACGTTGGAGGCGGCTTATGGTAGAGAAATTAACTTTCAATTATCTGGCAACAGCTCTGGTGGACATTCTTGCAGTCAGCATGCCAATTGCACGCTACCTCAAAACTTGAGACATCTGTGGCATTGTGTTGTGTGACAAAACTGCACATTTTACAGTGGCCTTTTATTGACCCCAGCACATTTACATTTACATCATTTAGCAGATGCTCTTATCCAGAGCGACTTACAAATTGGTGCATTCAACTTATGATAGCCAGTGGGACAACCACTTTTTTTTCTTTCTTTTTTATGGGAGGGTGGGGGAGGGAGGGGTAGAAGGATTACTTTTATACTATTCCAGGTATGCCTTAAAGAGGTAGGGTTTCAAGTGTCTCCGGAAGGTGGTCAGTGACTCCGCTGTCCTGGCATCGTGGGGGAGCTTGTTCCACCATTGGGGTGCCAGAGCAGCGAATAGCTTTGACTGGGCTGAGCGGGAACTGTGCTTCCATAGAGGTAGGGGAACTAGCAGGCCAGAGGTGGATGAACATAGTGCCCTCGTTTGGGTGTAGGGTCTGAACAGAGCCTGAAGGTAAGGAGGTGCCGTTCCCCTCACAGCTCCGTAGGCAAGCCTCAACTGGAAGCCAGTGGAGTGTGCGGAGGAGTGGGGTGACATGATAGAACTTGGGAAGGTTGAACACCAGACGGGCTGCAGCGTTCTGGATAAGTTGAAGGGGTTTAATGGCACAGGCAGGGAGTCCAGCCAACAGCGAGTTGCAGTAATCCAGACGGGAGATGACAAGTGCCTGGATTAGGACCTGTGCCACTTTCTGTGTGAGTTAGGGTCGTACTCTGCGAATGTTGTAGAGCATGAACCTGCAGGATCGGGTCACCGCTTTGATGTTAGCGGAGAACGACAGGGTGTTGTCCAGGGTCAAGCCAAGGTTATTTGCACTCTGGGAGGAGGACACAATGGAGTTGTCAACCGTGATGGCGAGATCATGGAGCGGGCAGTCCTTCCCCGGGAGGAAGAGCAGCTCCGTCTTGCCGAGGTTCAGCTTGAGGTGGTGATCCGACATCCACACTGATATGTCTGCCAGACATGCAGAGATGCGATTCGCCACCTGGTTATCAGAAGGGGGAAAGGAGAAAATTAATTGTGTGTCGTCTGCGTAGCAATGATAGGAGAGACCATGTGAGGATATGACAGAGCCAAGTGACTTGGTGCATCTGTGTAATGATTATGTGGATGGATTATCTTGGCAAAGGATAAATACTCACTAACAAGGATGTAAACAAATTTGTGCACAACATTTCAGAGAAATAAGCTTTTTGTGCATATGGAACATTTCTGGGATCTTATATTTCAGCTCATGAAACATGGGACCAACACTTTATATGTTGTGTTTATAATTTTGTTCAGTTTAGTTCACTTGTGTCCACTGTTCACCTTTAAAGGTAATTGTCTAAGATGTTTGGAGAGTTTGTGTTCCATATGTTAAGCAGTCAAGTTAACTATAGTGTATAGCTAAGTTTTTAGGATAAATCCTTTAGAATGTAATGTAAATATCTATACAATTCCCATCGCCAAAATGTATAGAAATCCTATAGGATTCCAATACAAGGATCCAATTAGAATCCCATAGAAAAATATGGGAACCAGTCCTATTGGTCTCCTATAGGATTATGCGCATCCTATTGGATTTTATATACAAGAATCTAATAGGAAAATCATAGCAGTGTGCTGGATTCTGGTGTAGCGGTCTAAACTCCCGGCTCCAGACCAGATATGCCCCCTCGATGATGGGGGTTTGAGCCCCAGCTCAGCCAATTGTCTGTGCCCTTAATTAACTACTTTCTGTACCCCTCTCTATATCTATCTGTCCTGTTAAAAAAAAAAACTATACAATAACTCTGATCCCTATTAAAAAAAATGTTTTTACCCTAGTCAAAAAATCCTATATGATTCCAATAAAAAATCCTGAATCCATTTTGGAACCAGTCATATTGGATTTAGTTTCCTACATCTGATAGATCTTTCTTTTGGATGCTAATATAATTTTTTTATTGGAATCCTGTGTCTAAACGCAGCCATGGTGGCCCAATGCCCTATTAAGACGATTTATGTTGACGTTTCCTTTATTTTGGCAGTTACCTTTACCTGGTGCAGAAGGGAGTTGCCCATTCAGTCCTTGCTTACCCCTTACAATCTACGGAAGAGCGGTGTGACCTTATCGCTGAGCAACCTCTTCAAA